CATTTCAAAACAACCATTGCATGTTGCCTTTTGATGGACTCCTGTAAAATCAACATTTTCATACCTATGAACTAACTGTTCCATCCACTGGAAAAGCAGGCAATGAATGCATGATGACACAACTGATAGCAATACACCTTTTAGTTTGGGTCTAAATTACCATCATCATCCTACTGATATGGGGCATGTGCAAATATTTAATGAAGAAGGAACCCTGGCTGCAGTCTGTTTCTGGTGTGTTAAATGTGTTCTAGTTTATATACGAAGTACTACATCTGCTATTTTCAGAGTGATAAACTGCATCAACGCTGTCTTCTTTCCTCGAAACACAATTAGGAAAATTACACTCTACTTGATGCCAACCTAAGTCATTATCTTTAATGGGAAACCAGATATTTTAATGTGCCTTGACCTTTTGCATACTGCCATGTTCTGGAAATTAGGAAAATATTTTCCTTTTTGGTTCTGTATCCTGGAGAAGAAGCATCTTTTAAATATTTCATGGAAACAAGGAATCCAATGAATCATCCATGCTAGACAAAGTGCTTTATTTTGTAATAAACATGATGTAAAATCAGGAGCAGGTTGGGTTATATTTCACATGACCTGTTTTTTCAGTCTCTTAAGTGTTTATTCTGTAAATTTTGTATATAACTTGTACAATATCAAAACCTGTAATTTTTCTTTTTATATTTAGACATGTTTTGGGGAAAATGATTAAAGTTCCAGCTGTTGTGATATGAAGTAAAGTAATTTAAACATACTTTTTGTGTCCTGAATGTAGTTGTGTATTCTTCTACATGTAAATGATGCTGTAATTTTGATGACTTAGCTAATTACCTATTATTGTTAACCACTTCTTGCATTAACAATTCTAATTGCAAAAAGTAAAATCTGTTTCTATTATACAAGGAGCAGCCTTTTCTCTCATGGATCAACTAAGAACCTACAAGGGTTGTTGAGGCCTGTCACATGGACTATGGAAGGAGCAGCCAGCTTTCAGTGATTGCAAGAGGAAAATGGAGATCATTGGTTCTTGTATATTTTGTCCGTCCTCTCAAAGTGCAAAACAAAATTATGACAGAGGCATGGTTGGTTGGGGAAGGGGGTGTATGATGAAAACACTATGGGGTTTTTCTGCCCCCCCAACAAGCCCTTACTGTCCTCAACCCCTATAAAGCTGCTTTCACAATAATGTGCTTTGGCTTGTTTACCTGGGTATAGCACAGTGCCTCTGCCATAGACCTCTATTATATCCTGCGGGTGTGTTGTACTTTCTGAAAGCACACAAATCCTGCAGTATATAATAGATGGCTATGGGGGGGAATAGGGGGTTTGCAGTCAATAAGTTGCTGACCCTGGATATATGCTTCCCTTTTTTTGAGGTCATGGGTCGAGCAGCCCCGGCCTAGACCTTACCATCCTCACTGCAGCAAAGCAAGAAAGCCTCCTAGGGAGTGCTCCTATGCAGACTTATAGGATACTCATGTCAAGGTAAAAACATTTTACAACAAAGATTCTGGAAAAGGTTGGGACACTAAAATCTACATAAAAAGGTCATGCTTTGCAAATCTCAAACCCATATTTTATTAAAAATGGAAAACATCAAATGTTTAAACTGAGAAAATGTACAATTTTACAGAAACAATATGGTAATTTTGTAATTGATGGCTATTTGATGACAACAGCATGACTCAAATTTGAGACCGCCACAACATACAGCCTCAATTTCAAAAACTAGTATCCCCCCTTTTCTTTTAACAATATTCTGTAAACATTTGGGAACAGAGGAGACCAGTTTTGGGAGGTGATTTGTCCCATTTTTGCTTGAGCATATAAAAAAAAAAAAAAATTACACATATTGAACGTGTTCCTGAAGCTGCTCTGTGATGATTTGGGGTCACAGGAGAGCACTCCTGTTACCTACAAGCAAAGTATAGTATAACCTTTTCTACTCCTTTATAGTTCTTCTGGCCACAGTCCAGCTTGCCTAAATTTTAAACAGGCCCTTTGTTTAGAAAGTTTGGCAACCCCCTACTATAGAGCAATCTTTTTACCTCCAGGTCACAGGAAATCCCTGCAAAAAAAAAAAAAAACTTTATTGAAGAATGCCACTTTTGGCCCCCGTTCACATCATGAGGATTGGATGTGGTTCAAAATGCATTCAATTTGCAAATATACTTTCTATGGAGCTGGTTCACATGGGGGCTGGGTACAATGCATTTTTAAGAGTCCAGTACAATTTTTAGCCTTGTTCAGGTGCGATTTCAAGTGTCATACATTTAAAAACATTTGCACCTGAACCTCTTTGGGGCCAGTTTCAGTGCCATTTACACACAGATGTGAACCTAGATTTACAGACAGCTTAAATGTGGTGTCAAGTTGCTGGCTCTGCAAAGTAAGGCTTGCCCCAGAGGTCAATCAGCCACAGCTCAAGGAACCTCAGGAGTAACAAATGACTGCTTTGAAGTAGCTGACATCACATCCAATATAGTGGCTCCTAGCTGTGGTCCCAATGCTTTTCTGGATGTTTACATAAAAGGAGCCTTTTGCAGGTAATAATATGCTTAAAAGTTTCTCTACATAGGCAGTTAAAGCTTGACCGAACATGGCAGCATTTTTTTGGAGGGGGGTGAAAAACCAAAAAAAAGGTGTACAGCAAAACTAGAATATGTATGTGGTAAATTCACCTGATCTATCAATACTATAATAACCTTTTCAATGTGCATTGGCCAGTACAGTACAAGGGTAGACAAAAAATGGAAACACTACATGATTTGGAGGTATGAAAGTGGTGACATGGTTTGTGTTGAAAGCGGAAGTGATGCAACATTCATTTGTTTCCGTTGTGTGATGAGAAGCCTCGCTTTAGTCATTCACTGTGTGCGCTACTAATACGGAGTCATGTCAGAGCTTACAAGAGCGCAAATTGTTGGTGCTGCTTAGGTGGTACCTCTGTGGCTGAAGTTGCCAATTTATTTGCTGTGTCACGAGGTACAGTATAAAAGGTTGACAGGATATACAGTTTCTGGGAAAACGTTATCTGATAAGATAAATGCAGTTGCCATGGTTAACTGCCTGAAAGATAAAAAGGACATTGCGCAGGATTGTGACCCGGAACAAGAAAACAACTGCTACAAAAGTGACAGCAGTCCCATGAAGACTGAGCTCTGCAAAGGGGGATGTTTTTCAAAGTGATTTCTCAACAAAATAAAGCATTGAGCCCATGGATGGATAGGGGAGTGTGCTTTAAAGTGGCAGTAAACTTTTAGAGCTTGTACCTACAGGGAAACCTATAATGCAGCTTACCTGTAGGTACAGAGAATAAGTCCTAAACTTGCAGTGTTTAGGAGATAGTCACACACTATGCCATCCCTTCAGAGCTCTGCACCGTAAACTGTGACTCCTGCATGCATGCGTGGGAGTGACGTCTTCATGGCTTAGCCATTCAAAGGCCTGGAGCCAGAGAACCGGATATCATATGTACTCTCCAGCGCCTCAGGATATGCACAACCAAAAGGGAAGCCAAGGGTACCAGGACAGCGACAACCAAAAGGAAATGCTCCTCAGATGGGGAAATCAGCCACTGGATAGAGAGAAAACAGGTGGCGCACACACCTAGTGCATTATCCAAGGTTTATTGTAGGAGTGAAAGAATAATAAAAACACTCAGACGAAGCATGTATCTAAAAAGCATAGAAAAATGACAATGGCCACAACGGCAGGCAAGGTGTTCTTACTGTCAGTGCGGTCAAATGGCTGACGCGTTTCGGGGACGAATCCCTTTCCTCAGAGCTGATGACCAACCTCTGATGCTGATGTATGATGAATGGAAAGTAAGAGCCTTTGAGGCATCAACAGCAAGGCTCTTACTTTCCATTCATCATACATCAGCATCAGAGGTTGGTCATCAGCTCTGAAGAAAAGGGATTCGTCCCTGAAACGTGTCAGCCATTTGACCGCACTGACAGTGAGAACACCTTGCCCGCCGTTGTGGCCATTGTCATTTTTCTATGCTTTTTAGATACATGCTTCGTCTGTGAGTATGTTTTTATTATTCAATCACTCCTACCATAAACCTTGGATAATGCACTAGGTGTGTGCGCCACCTGTTTTCTCTCTATCCTGGAGCCAGAGAACACGGAAGGAAGATGGAAGCACCACTCGAGGGCTTCATTCTAAGGTAACATTTTTATAATGTACTAGTATGCATTGCATACTAGCACATTATGCCATTGCCTTGCAGAGGATTTGGGTTTTTTTTTTTTTTTACACCGCAATTTATTACCACCTATTAAAAATGAATTAAATAGTGTGTTCAGTTTGTGTTGCTCAGATACAGAATGTTTGACCCAGAATTCTATTACTTTCTAAATTTGGGGCAGACATGAACAACTGGCACAAAAAAAGCAGAGAGATAATTTGTCATGAGGTGTTTTATTCATTTAGACTGGCCTTTCATTGTACAATATTAGTTGAATACTGCTTGCATTTATTTATACTCAGGGGAAGAAATTAAAACAGACAATGCAATGCATTATTACAAGTAATTCCAATGCATTAGCTGACATTATTTGGCTATAGTTTTATTGCTGAGTATTGTCAATCTAGGTTGTGTAGCTATTATTTCCTCACAACAAATGGAAATACATACTAAAAGACCAGATAAAAATAATTGGGACTTTTCAGTAATTTAATATATACATAAAAAGGATAGCAAAAGAAAAAAAATATATATAGATTGCATTTATTATATAATCTAGTTCAATTGCTAACATGTACGTTATCCTAAACATATTTCAAAAATGTATACTCTGCTTAACGCCGTTAATTACAGGCAAATCACCACAAAGCATCTCACTCATTCATAAAACTATTTACATCTCTCCTATTAAATATGAAGCAACACTACATACCATCTCTCTCCACACTGGTAAATCATGAATTACATTAAATTACTTAACATTGTAGGCCTTTTCCAGAACAAAGTGAAAGTTGCATCAAAAACTGGATCCATTCTCTTTTGCCTTCTGGTCTTCAGATGCCAGTGGATTCTGTGAACATTAAAGATGGTTGTTGTAATGTATAGTTGGAGGAGTTGCTCGGCTATTGGAGGGGATTTTGGTGCTGGTGCAGCAAGGACATGTTTGGAAGAAACGGGCATCTAGTTAAGTTGATATTTGGTTCAAGCATAACGCAATGGGAGGGGTCAGTCAGTGACTCAAAGTATTAAAGAGGTGGGTTTATGAAAGCCAGGCACTGATCATTTTCAGAGGATGATGTCAGAATTGGCAGCCTACATCTCTCTCTGTACAGATTTCCGTTAAAAATAAACGGCCTGCAGTAAGAAATACAGAAGTCACTATTGCTGCCTTCTTTCTGAAAATACCAGTTACTCAACTCCATACTTCGAATCACTGGTCTGGACTGATCATGCAGGTAGCAGAGTGAGAAAAGTCAATGATGTGCATTCTTATTCTAGATCAGTTACTCAGAAAGCTTTTGGCTCAACATAACAGCCAGGTTCTGTTTAAAGGACAGGTTGGTGATGGCAGCTTCCATATTATAGGACACAGTTTCTCTATAACAGCCCATGCTGGTATCACACTTGCAAACATAGAGCTATGGAGATACTTCAGGCCAGTATAGAAATAGGTTGGTGTTTCAAGAGGAAGCAGGCTAAAACCACAATACATACTCCCTGGCATAAAAGCGTGGCAGGTAAGCCTTCTGTAAGTACACCACCAATGACCAAACTAAAGAACATTCAATTCATTCTATTCCTGTATATCGGATTCATGATATGGAATGTTCACGTTCGTGTGACTTCGTTCATCTTCTAAGCATAGTTCTCCCACCATTCAACAGTCCCCTATGAGAGCTTCCACTGACCAATAAGATTCTAATGCCTCGCACACACTATAAGAATATTGTACAAACATTTTCGTACGAGGACCGATCGTCCGATAATTGGACCGTTAGTACACAGCTTTCGAGAGTCGATCACGACAATTTGCAACAATATCCGAAGGGACAAGCGCAAAACTTTTTCTCCTAGGATACCAGATTGTATGATTTTCCTTCAATCAGTACAGTAGTCGTTCAAAAATACAATACATCACTTTTGAAATTCTTTTCTTTCAAAGAGAATTTCCGTATCTTTAATAACCTTTTCACTTTGGATGTGAGACTAGCAGGCGAAAAAAAAAAACGGGCGATCGTCCAATATTCTCATCGTGTGTATGGGGCTTAACACTACAAAGCTGAATGGCAAGGACCTACTTTGTGTTGTGCTGAAATAGAACCCTAGTGTATGCCAGAAGTGGCTATGAACATTCATATAGTTTGTATCTGCAAATTGATCAAAGCGACCAGACTAACAATACAATAAATGTCATGTTCACTTTCATTTGCACAGGATCCAAGATTCTGTGCACTTTATCCAAAAACAACACACTTACCCTGCTGAGAACAGTTTGGATCCCCTCCATGGTTGCAGAAAGCTCTCGAATAGTTTTTGTTAGCTGGTCCTCATATTGGCAGTTGGTGTCTTCCAGGGATTTCAGGCTCTCCCGTAGGTGACTGAGGTCGCTCTTTGCTTCTTTCAGCTCCCCAGATAAACTTTTATTAGAAGCTTCTAGCTGAGAGATGGTCTTTTCATCTAACTCTGTGGCAAACAAAGTACAGCAGTGGATCAAACAGCAACATAGTAGTGTCCACACAGACTAACAACCAAGTCATCCACAAAATGCACTAAGCAGCCCATAAAACTAGCTGTCTGAGGATAAAAGAAAGCTTTGGTCAAAACAGCACCTTGGGAACAATTGGGATGTCTTTCTTGTCCAGATTTGAACAGAAATGATGACATATATATATAGATATATATATACATACATACACACATACATACATACATACACACACCTTAACATACTGCCTGCCTCCTCCACTACACCCAAAGCTTGAAAAAAAAAAAAAAGTTTTTGCTTGAGATTTACTTTGTGTTGTCATTTTCTTTATGTACCTCTTGGAGACTGTCATTCAGTTCATCAATTATATGCTATCACCAGTAAAGAAATGGTGTCGTAGCATCTGGGTAGAAAAAGGCATTCAGATGGCACCGAGCTCCCGCTGCTCAGCGGTACTGCAGAGAACTCAGACAGGCAGTGAATGCACTTAAAAGGGGGATGTTTATTTATTTATTTCAGGTACTTATATAGTGCCTTCAATTTACACAGCGCTTTATATATATATATATATATATATATATATATATATATATATATATATACACACACACACACACATACACATATATACACACACACACATATATATATTGTACATTCACATCAGTCCCTAACCCTCAAGGGGCGTACAATCTAAGGTCCCCAACTTACATTCATACATACACATATTAGGGCCATTTAGACAGTATCCAACTAACCTACCAGCATGTCTTTGGAATGTGGGAGGAAACCAGAGTACGCGGAGGAAACCCACGCAGGCACAGGGAGAACATGCAAACTCCAGGCGGGTGGTGCCGTGGCTGGGATTCGAACAGACGACCCTAGTACTGCCAGGCGGAAGTGCTAATCATTTAGCCACTGTGATGTTCTCTGCCTCCCCCCTAAATTCAGTACTCTGCAGTACTTTACCTGCACTCACATTGCTATTTTTAAAAAAAGGGTGTGTGTGTGTTTATATGCGTATATGTTACTTTTAATCCTGACAGAACAGAACTGCTTTTTTTTTAGGACAGCAAGAACTACCACTCCTCTGAAAAGCGATCCATGCTCAGCTTTTCATAGGCAAAGCAGCAATATGTAGCCACCCTAACCTCCCTAAATGTAGCATCAGCATGCAGTTGCAGCGCAACCCCATTCACCTGAGGGTATACTTCTAGTTGTGGCCACAGCAACATGTGAACATGCCCTTCGTTCACATCTGTGCAGCTGTGTGCTACATGCACAGCAATCCCATTAATTTCAATGGGCTGCCCTACCCACAGAAAGGCAGTGAAAGAAGTCCCCGACCCTTTTTTAAAATTGTGAAAAGCACTCCACATTTGCCAATGCATGGTGGTACCAATAGGATGTGGAACTTTGAAGTCTGGTAAACAGCAGAGCATCTGTCTGCATGTCAGAACATGTGCAAAATCATGGCATGCAATAATGTGAACCAAGCCTTAGACTGGGGTGCCTTAATACTGAAAATACTTTTCAAGGGCTTCTTGACTGGAAAAAGGTTGAGAAACCCAAATGTAAATAAATAAAAGTGCCATCTTGTACTTCCAAATTGCTTCAGATGGAAGTCATCTTGTGTAGCGCCAGTTGTGCACTGCCACCAACAGACGTCCATGAACACCATTTTCGTACTGATGCTCTAAAGGCTTTTAGGAAGTGTGGCCTGCCACTGTTGTATTATCAGACGAGGATAATGGGGCTGAGGATCTCCAAATAGGTTGTAGTAGGGACATGCCAGAACAACTCCTGACTGCATAGAAATGTTGTCTGGGTCTGTTGTTTTGGGGTTTTTTGGGGGGGAAAAATGACCATTTACTCTCGGTATTAAAGCTGCTGTAAAGTCATATCAGATAAGAGATCTATCCACAGTGACCAAAATAAAGGGAATATTACATTAATACACATCTTATGTATCACAAACGTATATACCACCATCCCGCCAGGGATCACCAGACCCCGTGCTCTACACTGACTCCAGATGCCGTGCTCTACATCAACTCCAGGCGCCGTGCCCTGCTTCATCTCCAGACGCCGTGCCCTGCATCATCCCCAGACGCCGTGCCACAACACTCATGGCCGCCGGCCTACAGCACCCACGGACTGCAACTTGCCAGCTGCTGCCCAGCCGCCCATCAATCTCACTCACTCTCCTCCTACAGATGGACACAGATGACCTCCGCCACGACGTGACAGACTCTCCGCATCATCACGCCCTGATATGAAATCTCTGACCTCCCTGATCTGACCAGCACTCCGCACACTCTAACATGCCAACCGCACTCCTCCTCCTCATATTCCTCTCCTCCATTCCCAAAATTGCCTCCCCCTACTCCCCCAAAACAGCTCTACATTGCTCCTTCACTTCTTCCTTCTCCCTACTACGGCACTCACCACCTCCTCCTAATATTCCACTCCCCCGCCGACCCACACGCCACCACTAACAGATCCACTCGCTCCTGCACATCCCGTTCCCATGCCACCTTCCTCACCCTTCTCCTGATCGCCGGTAACATCTCCCAAAACCCTGGCCCCCCACCTCCCCACTCCCTCTCTAGGCACCCTCCTGCTCTCGCCAGCCGCCGCAGCCCCCTCAACCTCATACCCGTCCCCCTCCTCCCCGCATCCACCCCTCCTCTCTTGGTTGCATTCTGAAAGCCCGCTCGGTTTGCAACAAGCTCACCGCCATCCACAACCTCTTTGTCTCCCACTCCCTCAACCTCCTAGTGGTCACCGAAACCTGGATCCAACCCACCGACTCCACCTCCCCTGCAGCACTCACCTACGGAGGCCTCGTCTGGACCCACTCACCCAGACCGAGTGGTCGCAGAGGCGGCGGGGTCAGCATGCTCCTGTCACCGCTGAGCACCTTCCAGGTCCTCCCTAACCCCCCCTCCCTAACCTTCTCCTCCCCCCCCCGACCGCTTCAACCCTGGCAGAACGACAACACAAAATGTCTCAAACGACGTAGTCGTGCGCTGGAGCGATTATGGCGCAAAACCAAATCCCCTCGTGCGTTATCATCCCACGCCTGGACTACTGCAACTCCCTTCTCACTGGCCTACCCAAACAAAATACCTAACTGACCTGATACCCAAATACCACCCTACCCGTGCCCTTCGCTCCTCACAGGACCTCCTACTCTCTAGCTCCCTGGTCTCCTCCTCCCACGCCCGACTGCAGGACTTCTCCAGGACTTCCCCCATCCTCTGAAAATCCCTACCCCAATCCATCAGACTGTCACCTACCCTCCTCACCTTCAGGCGCACCCTGAAAACCCATCTCTTCAGGGAAGCCTACCCCACCCTCACCTAACAACCGATCTCCACTTCTCCCACCACTTCATCCCCTACAGCCACTTCCTCCTGTAACACTTCCCCTCCCCCCTAGATTGTAAGCTCGAAAGAGCAGGGCCCTCGAACCCCTCATGTATTGTATTGTTACTGTTTTGTCTCATGTTCTGTCCCCCTTGCTACTGTACAGCGCTGAGCAAACCCTTTGGCGCTATATAAATACTGTATAATAATAATACTTTTTAAGGCAATTAGTCAATTCATTAAATATTAAACATACACTAACGTTGATCTATGTGGTACATACTGTATATAACATACGGTGAAAATGTTCATTTTGATGACACAGAATTATTTTGTGGAAAATGAGTCACTAAAAATGACTGCCTAATCACTCTGAAATAAGATGGTTTAAAACTGCAGTTCCTTGTTCCATGCTATGCCCTACTGCATACCATATACACGGACGAGATTTCATCTTTTTGTTTTTTTTTTTTTTTTTATAGAATACCTGTTTTGGACTGGAGAGCCTGAAGCCTCTGTTCAAGCTCTGCTCTTGCCTTCTCACTCTTTTCTAGTTTCTGCAGAAGACTTCCCACATCAACCATGGCACCATTGTACACAATCAGGCCGCCCTTTTCTTCCACAGAGGACACACCGGATCGTGAAATTTTGGATGGCAAAAGCAATCTGTTTCCTGGTAAAGAAGTAATTGGAAAAAAGAATTAATTTAAAGTAGAACTATAGATACATTTTATATAAATAATTAATACTCGTGAGCAACTAGAAAGGTGCTTACTTACATTAAAAATATAATATAGTGTAATTTAGTGTATTATATAATTATATTAGATCGCAGGATACTTCGTTCACCCTCTCTAGGTGTGTATCAGTTGACAATATATTCCAATATAGTACCGCATAGATACATTTTATTTACATTCTGGATAGAGTAAGGGAGAGTTATAGCCCCCGGTCAGAAATGTTTTTCCGCCATCTGTGTCCCATTGCAGAGATTGCCTTTCACTTCCTGTCCCATAGCCAAACAGGAAGTGAGAGAAAATCCCTCCTGCAGATTTAAAGGAATCCCTTGGGAACCCCTAGGTCACCAGAAAATTTCCCCTCTATTACTTTTCTGAGGACAACCCAAAAGTTGGGATTTTCTTTTACTTTCAATGATAATGGTAAACAGGGCAAATAGAGAGGAGGAAGCTCCCTAACAAGAGCACAGACAGCAATAAAAACTGACAGGGGCTCTAATCCCTCTCCTCTCTATTCAAAACTAAACAAAAAGCTTTGACTTTGGTTCTACTTTAAAACAGAACTAAAGGCAAAACATTTTATTTTTAGATTTGGTAGAATAAGTGGGGGTTATAACCCGTCAGATTTGACATGTGTGTCCAATTGGGGAGATTAATAGTAACGTCCTGTCCTATAACCAAAACAGGAAGTGAGAGGAAATCCCTCCACAGTGAGTGTCCCCATTGGAAGATTTTTACTGTTTTAGGGACAGCCCAATATTTGGGATTTTCTTTACCTATATCACTGAAAGTGAAAGTAAAACACGTCAAACAGAGAGGGTGAATCTAACAAAAGGGGGCATACAAAAAATAAAAACCTGACAGGTTCTAATCCCTCTCCACTCTAGCCAAAATGAAAAAAAAAAAGTGTTGTTTTTAGTTCTACTTTAATAGAATCTGCAGACCATGATTTTAACCTGTAATTGCTGGCAAAACACCAAGGCACAAGAGTTCACAGAATACCTAGAATATCTTCACTAAAAATATCAGTCTCTTCGTGACTCCCATCATCTGTGCAAGTATCGGTTAACTTCCGGTAATATAAGGATTCCTTCAGTAAAATTTTGGTTAACAGTTTTTTCACCTGCAACAAAAATGTATTGAGATTGTGAATTGGTTAAATAAATCGAGGATGGCAAAAATGAACATTCCTGTAGATCAAAGAGGTGGAGATTTACCTGAACAACATGGGAGCAGTCAAGGATCACCGGGCACGATGTCAGCCAGTGTCACCTCCTCACACCTGATTTAAACCTCTAATTGCCATACTACCGTGTCACAATCGTGTGCATGGCAATCATGGGTTTAAGTCAGGTGTTGAGGCAACATATCTCCTCCTCACCATCTGTCAAACACACGCATTGCTTTACAGAGGTGCCTGCTGCACTTGTGAATGAGTCCTTAGTTGCATCCAGAAGTGGCACTCTTAGGGCTCGTTCACATGTAAAGTTGGGGGGGTATAACCCTGTGGTTGAGTCACAGTTTTACCATCCCCAATCCCTACCACCTTTAGCTGTTGCGGCAGCAGCCAAAAGGTGTACACATGCTGCAGCAGGAAAACCCCTGATGCTTTTGGTGCCCCACAAGTGCATGCTTCTGTGGGGTCCAAAGGGTTAAAGCAGGTGGTGAGAAAGCAACACACTGCTGCCTGTTTAACCCCTTGTTTGCAGTACTGCACAAAGTTGCAGAGTGGCCTCATTATTTAGAATTGGTCATGCTTGGCAGGTGCTGCACCCACCAACCATGACAGGGCACAGGATCCAGCACTACAGAGGAGACATCAACTTATGCAGCTCCTGCTCCCTACTACAGATCCAACTTTACAAGTAGTCCCTCTGCATTGCTCTCTGTTTGATGCTCTGGGATGGCGGGTCAGCAAGCCCAGACTGCAATCTACCAGTCACCTGGCTGAGATCTACTGACAGATTACGATCTGCTGGTTACTGACCCCTGCTGTAGAGCCTCTTGATCCCGGGCCCAGGCTGCACATGCTAGTTCTACAGACATCATCATACAGCTGCTACTAATAGACAAGTATGGTCTGATGTTATGACCACTACCGGTACAAGGCCTCATGCACACTGGTAAATGCTGTTTCTCCTGACATGTAAAAATCTGACCTAAAAACCTAAGCTGTGTTTTTTTGGCAAAGTTTAGCAGTATCTGGTGTTTTGGGCATTTATTCATTTGGCCAATTAAATAAACACTGAAGTGCTAAATGCGCCTAGCGTTTAGGCATGTTTAGCAGTGTTCAGCGTTTTTTGGTTGTCAAAATTCCCTCTCCTGAATATGATTTCAGGGCGTTCAAAAAATGTTCTGAAAACTCCCCTGCTATTAAACTACTGTAAACAGCTATATGTGTATAGGATAACGGGGGGGGGGGCGCAAAAAAAACCTCACCAAAACCCAGAAACCGTGAGTTTATCAGCAGCAGTGTGCATGAGGCCTTACACACCATACAGTGCATACTGATTCTACAAAGCTGCCAATCTTCAATACAATATATTTATAGAAAACCTGTACAACTTCCTTTGAGCTTTCCAACAAGTGTAGTGCGAGTGCCATCTAAGGCTCCATTCACACTTACCAATCAGGCTGTTTGTGACTAGCTGCGGGTGACCCAGGATTCCCTGCGATTAGCTGCAGGCAGGAGGCTCCACTGAAAGCAATTGGAGGCTCACAGCTGCCGCAGCTATTCACAGCAGATCTCATGTAATCACGCATGCAGCGATTACCTGCAACAGTTTGGATCTGCATCCACCGGCAAAACAGCTCCATTCCTATGTGTGAATGGAGATTAAGCTGGTCACGAACATTACAATCAAATTTTTCAATATCCTTCAGATTTTCTAACAACTATGTAGTGTGAGGATCTACGTAAATTTGATCTGTATCTGGTAGGCCTTTACATTACAAATCATTGAAAAAGATTTTACAATCAGGATTGCAGACTATGAGGCCAGTTTAAAGTGTATTTTCAATTTTGAAGTAAAATTTTATAAACCCCCTCCATATATGTTTGTCGTGTGTTCCCATTCACACACCCCATGCCTAAAAACAAAAAAACACTGTATTACCTTTCTAGTTGTTTCTTGGAAACAGATTTATACATAGGACTCTATAGGCAGCTTCTACTGCTTTGAAAATATGGCAATGTAAAGATAAGGCAAGCCATGGATTATGTGATTATCTTTCTTGCTACCACGGGTTGCAGGAAAGAAAGTCGCTTCATTCCCAAGTCAGTGTTGATAGGGGAATCCCTACTGCAGAGCTATTATGTTCTCCTGGTGGAGAGAGGGGGGGAACCTGTTGGGAGAACACAATGTCTATTGCTAGCGGCAATAATTGCATGCTAGAAATCTGACATGATAGTTGCACCCAAGTCCATCGATGGAATATCTTGGGTACAATCAGACTGCCTATAGATGGAACGAATCTCATCCGGTCCCTGCTGAACCGGCAGAAATTGGAACCATCAACGGCTGGCTTCAGTTTGGAAGTGCATTACATACAATGCAGGTAGGATTTATAAGCAAGTAAAAGCACTCCCTTTGTATTTGTATATAACATCCTAGGATTAGTCGGAGAAGTCTAAGAGGTATACTGTAAAACCCAAATTATACTGTGCAGACCAACTAAACAGAAAGCAGAATGCACATACGAACCTATGCTGTTGATAACAGTAGGGGAGGAACATGCATTATACATTTTTTTTTGTTCAATCTGCGGATTGAACAGAAAAAAAAAAAAAAAAAAGTCCTGATTCCCCCATCCACACATTTGATGTAGATGGGGGAATCCTCCCGCTGTGCTATTGTATTCTGCCAATGGAGAGCCTTCTCCGGTGGAAGAATACAATGATTAGCATTGCTGACTATAGCTGGCAGTACTAATTGGGCGAGAAAGAAAAAAAAAAAAACCCGACAGGGTGGTAGTACGAAAGTCAAAAGATCAACGTTTGTCAAATCAGCCCATAGATAGATCGAAATTTGGTCGGTCCCTGCTAAACCTGCCACATTTAAATCCATCTATGGCTGACTTATATCATCTGTAAGACAGTTCAGCAATAAAGATCAAGCAGAGGACAAAAGAACGGGACACAAAATAGTGCATCGTTTACCTGCCTGTAGATTCTTTGTAGGAGTAAGCTCAAAGCTCTGTCAGAGGGGGGGAGGGGGCAATCTGCTCTCCACAGTTTGAAGCAGGGGCGGACTGACAACTCATGGGGCCCCCGGAAAATAGGGGATCATGGGGCCCCCTTTGTCCTTGCCCAAACTCAAAAAAGCCTATGAAAAATGTACCAGGGGCATCTCATGGGACCCCCTACTGACCCCGGGCCCTCGGGCAGTGCCTGAGTTTCCAAATGGTCAATCCGCCCCTGGTCTGAAGTAGCAGTAAATATCCAGCAAGACACCAAATGCCCTCACTACCCAAAAAGGAGAAATCTCCAGCAAGTGAGCAAACATCTTCCAGAGGCAGAAAATGGGAACATAACTAACAGAAGGGTTTAGTACCTGTGCCCTTGACAGATGCAATCCAAGGGTATAAATAATTTCTTCTAAGTCCTTCTCCAATAAATAGCCACAATGACTTTGATCAAAATATACAAATGCCATTAGAAGATCCTTGTTTATTGTAACCATCAGTTTCTTTTCTTTCTCCTGGAAAAAAGTCACATTTTGAAAATTTCAATTCATACAGAAGAAATGCAAAAAACACCTTTTGATTTTCCAACTGAATAAGGCATTCTGGGCCAATATTGGCTTTATACGGTTTTCATACAATATATATTTTAATTTAAAATATTTTTTAATCAGTTTATAGCAAGTTCCAGACATGGAGATGGAGAAGTCCCCAAGCAGGAAGCTAAAATGTGCACCAAATAACAGGAGCTGGAAAACAATGCAAACAACTATATCTGCCAGCTGTTTGGAATATAGACATCATAGTGATCAATAAAGATATGAACACCTTGCTATCTCGCTGTTGACAAACCATAACAGAAGACATCTTGTAGGGCTAGATAGAAGAGAATCACACTCATTGCATCTCAGTCAAAAAAAAAGCAGAAGCCCATCCAAGGTTGTTTACTCCTTCAACCTCATTTGTGAAAAGCAGTTTTTTTTTTCCAAATCTTTGATTTTTTTTTGTTTATAGCGCAAAAAATAAAAAACCCAGTGGTGATTAAATACCATCAAAATAAATCTCTATTTGTGTGAAAAAATGATAAAAATTTCATATGGGTACAGTGTTGCATGACCGCGCAATTGTCATTTAAAGTGCAACAGTGCTGAAAGGTGAAAATAGGTCTGAGCAAAAATGGGGTAAAAGTGCCGGGTAGACAAGTGGTTAAAGAAACTGAAGTATTGGGGATGCTCACTCCAAAGTCCAAAGCCAGTGATTCCTGAGGGATGAATCTTTAGGCAAAGATTAAATACAACCTGTCAAAACAGAATCATAAAGGCTGCTTTTGATTATCTCTCCTGAAAGTGCTAGTGCCCTGGCTGTCCTGCTAAACCTCATGCTTTCTTTTTTTTTTCCCCTCTCTGAATGGAGGAAAAAGAGAAAAAAAAAAACTGTTTGTAAAAAAAAAAATAAATAAAAATAAATATTAAAAAATAAAGAAAAAATACCTAGATCAAGGTTTGATCTAGCTCAGTGCCAGGGACAGTGTTTGGGACAAGGTCAGGGTCAAAGGCCAGGATTTTATTTCTTTTTTTTATACATTGGTATCAGTGTCAGTTAGGGCTCATTCACACTTGACTGTTTTACCAACTCTTGCCAGAACGCCCCCTATAGCGTTTGGCAAGCGTTGGTCCGGCGTTTGCGGAGCATTTTTTTAACGCTCTGCAAACGCCGCATGCGCGGTTCAGCGGCGGTTGCTAGGCGTTTGCCGAGCACTGAAAACGCCCTACAAACGCCTATAATGAAGTTCGAATGGTGTTACCGCTTTGCAAACGCCCTGCAACCGCGTCGCAACCGCACTGCAATCGCCGGCCGGGCGTTTGCGGAGCGGCACCATAGACTAGAATAGGAGGCTTCAACACCTCCTCCCTCCACCAGAGTAGACCCTTTTTCCTGCGCCGCTAATGCTCCCGTTAGAACAGCACCATGTGCTGCAATGTGCAGAATTGTCAGAGGCATTTGGGAAGCGGTAAAAACGCTTCCCAAACGCCTTTCTGCCGCCTGCACACAACGTTAGTGTGAACGTAGCCTTAGTGTTAGTGTGTTTTAGAAAAAAAAAACCAACAAAATGCGCACTATTGTTTCTGGGCTGCAGTACAGGTACAAATAAACACATATATAAATTTGAAAAAGTTTTTTTTTTTTTTTTTTTTTTTTTTTTTACTTACTATTTTGGGCCAGTTTTCCTTTGATAATAAAAAAAAAAAAATCATGAGATATCCATTACCATTTACCACCAAATGAAAGGCCAATTTGTGCTGAAAAAAAATGTATAATCCACCTGGATGCATAAAAGTAGTTGTAATATGTACGGTCTAACTAATCCATGTCAAAGTTGTAAAATTTTACTTAGGCTTTAAGATTTGTTTTACCTTTAGGCATGAAGGGGTTAAATATGTTATACGGAGTTAGTATGTGGATTTCAGAATTCTATTATTCATTGGACAAATGAACCAACTATACCACTGTAACTTTCGCACGCTCTGCTCCCTGTATCATTATTCATATCTAAATGTTCGTGTCAGGTCTGAATGTAATTAGGAGCATTGGGAAACCTTTCACTATGGACTTTTTTCAGCACGAGAGAGATTTTCAGTAATTGGAGTGTGTTCAGTAACAGCTTTGTGCCCCCTTGTGTGCAGCAAAGATTCATTTTCACTTTTGACAGGAGCGTATTTAGAGAAAATGCGTACACAAATGTTATCAGCAACATACAGATTTTGGGGAGTTTGTTAACTATATCAGTTGCTTCATGCAAGCATCTAATGTTATAAAGAGCTGCATAAAAGAAGTTGAGAAGCACAGATCATAATTAACATACCTTATCTTTGGTTAGCCATTCCTTGCTGTATCTGTTTTCCCTCTTGTCGTCACGCTTATCCTTGGTGCTCGAGTCATCGTCATCATCTTCCCTGTCTGTGATAAATTGAGTGCTAGTTCATGTTATTTTGTTAAAATAAGAAATTGAAGGGCTTTTAAACAAAACTATTCTTCCAACTGAGCTGTGCACATTAAAACTAAAATCTGATTGGTTCCTAAATAGGATTGGTTGCATATCACTACCAGGGGCGGACTGACCATTTGGAAACTCGGGCACTGCCCGAGGGCCCGGGGTCAGTAGGGGGCCCCATGAGATGCCCCTGGTACCTTTTTCATAGGCTTTTTTGAGTTTGGGCAAGGACACAGGGGCCCCATGATCCCCTATTGCCCGTGGGCCCCATTGAGTTGTCAGTCCGCCCCTGATCACTACTGCTGTTTTCACTGCCTGATTATAGAAGCTCAAGTTTATACACAAATGAAGAAATAGTGATATTAAGCTATTTCTTAGGGCACAGAGGCTGATCAGTGTAAAGTAAAGCAATGAAACCTGGAAAAAAATGTGGTGTCCCTGTCCATAGCAGGAAGATCCAGATTTGTTTTGCTTAGGCTTTCATTGGTCCACTCATCAGAAATTGGCCCCATTGAAAAAAAACATCTGCATAAATGACATCCGTTTAGCACATATATGGAAAAAACATTAAATTAAGATATTTATTCAAGAAGCCTCACAAAACATGAACATTAGTGAAAAAAAGGCCACTGAACAGGAGCTAAATGATAATATTGGTGCATCTCCTACAAACAGTACAGATTTTCAAAAGGAGAGGTTGTCATTGGCAGCCTATGTATTTGTATTTTGTTTTGTTTAAAGAGAACCTGACACTACAAAACATACTACTGTGGGACAGGTTTGCTTTAAGAATGTGAACACTGCAAGAATTTGGATTTGCTCTACAGCAGGGATTTCAAACTGGTGGCCCTCCAGCTGTTGCGAAACTACAAGTCCCATCATGCCTCGGCCTTTGGGAGTCATGCTTGTAACTGTCAATCTTGCAATGCCTCATGGGACTTGTAGTTTGGCAACAGCTGGAGGGATGCCAGTTTGACACCTGTGCTCTACAGACAGTGAGTAACAGAAGTATTTGAACACCCTGCAATTTTGCAAGTTCTCCCACTTAGAAATCATGTGGGGGTCTGAAATTCACATTGTCGGTGCATTCCCACTCTGAGAGACAGAATTTAAAAAAAAATTCAGGAAATCACATTGTATGATTTTTAAAGAATGTATTTGTCTTGCATTGCTGAACATAAGTATTTGAACACCTGAGAAAATCAGTGTTAATATTTTGGTACAGAAGCCTTTGTTTGCAATTACAGAGGTCAAACGTTTCCTGTAGTTCTTGACCAGATTTGCACACACTGCAACAGGGATTTTGGCCCACTCCTCCACACAGATCTCCTCTAGATCTGTCAGGTTTCGGGGCTGTCACTGAGCAACACGGAGTGTCAGCTCCCTCCAAAGATGTTCTATTGGATTTAGGTCTGGAGACTGGCTAGGCCACTCCAGAACCTTGATATGCTTCTTACGGAGCCACTCCTTCGTTATCCTGGCTGTGTGCTTCGGGTCGTTGTCATGTTGGAAGACCCAGCCACGACCTATCTTCAATGCTCTGACTGAGGGAAGAAGGTTGTTGCTCAAAATCTCACAATAAATGGCCCCATTCATCCTCTCCTTAATACAGCGCAGTCGTCCTGTCCCCTTCACAGAAAAGCACCCCCAAAGCATGATGATACCATCCTCATGCTTCACAGTAGGGATGGTGTTCTTGGGATGCAACTCATCCTTTTTCATCCAAACACGACGACTGAAGCTTAGACAAAAAAGTTCTACTTTGGTCTCATCTGACCACATGACTTTCTCATATGCCTCCTCTGGATCATCCAGATGGTCATTGGCAAACTTCAGACGGGCCTGGACATGTGATGACTTGAGCAGGGGAACCTTCCGTGCAATGCATGATTTGAAACCATGACGGCGTAGTGTTCTACCGACAGTGACCTTTGAAACTGTGGTCCCAGCTCTCTTCATGTCATTTGACCAGCTCCTCCCTTGTAGTTCTGGCCTGATTCCTCACCTTTCTTATCATCAGTGATACCCCACGAGGTGAGATCTTGCATGGAGCCCCAGTCCGAGGGAGACTGACAGTCGTCTTTAGCCTCTTCCATTTTCTAACAATTGCTCCAACAGTTGATCTATTTTCACCAAGCTGCTTGGCAATTGCCCCGTAGCCCTTTCCAGCCTTGTGGAGGTCCACAATTTTGTCTCTGGTGTCTTTTGACAGCTCTTTGGTCTTGCCCATGGTAGTAGTTGGCGTCTGACTGACTGTGGGGTGGACAGGTGTCTTTAAAGAGCTCAGACAGGTGCTACTAAGTTAGATTAATGAGTGGAGTAGAGGTGGACTTTTTAAAGGCACAGTAACAGGTCTCTGAGAGCCAGAATTCTTGCTGTTTCTTAGGTGTTGAAATACTTATGTTCAGCAGTGCAAGACAAATTCTTTAAAAATCATACAATGTGATTTCCTGAATTTTTTTTTTTTAATTCTGTCTCTCAGAGTGGGAATGCACCTACAATGTGAATTTCAGACCCCTCCATGATTTCTAAGTGGGGGAACTTGCAAAATCGCAGGGTGTTCAAATACTTCTGTTCCTCACTGTATCTGTCATCTGTACCCCTCCCTCTTAAATTGTAAACTCCAAGGAGCGGGGCCCTCCTATCCCTCTTGTATTGAACTGTACTGTTGCTGTATTGCCTCCCCGTTATATTGTAAAGCGCTGAGCAAACTGTTGGCGCTATATAAATCCTGTATAATAATAATAATCTATGCTTCTTAACCACTTGCTTCCCAAGTCTATTCTGACATTTTTCTCATACATGTAAAAATCCACATTTTTTACTAGAAAATTACTCAGAACCTCCAAACATTATATATTTTTAAGCAGATGCCCTACAGAATAAAATGGTGGGTGTTGCAGTTTTTCAAAAGCATTGCTAATTTTGCAATCAGCGATTTTTCAAAAGCAAATTTTTGGGGAAAAAACACACTTTAATGAATTTTAATGCAAAAAAGCCCACAATATATAACCCAATTTTTTATAAAATATAAAAGATGATGTTACGCCGAGTAAATAGATACCTAACATGTCACGCTTTAAAATTGCGCTCACTTGTGGAATGGCACCAAACTACAGTATTTAAAAATCTCCACAGGCAACACTTTAAAAATGTTTACAGGTTACCCGTTTAGAGTTACAGAGGAGGTCTAGCACTAGAAATATTGGCTCGTTATACAGTTTGCGGTGATATCTCACATGTGTGGTGTGAACACCATTTACATTTCTTGTAATAGGAATAAAAGTGATTAAAAAAAAAAATAGGTTGCGCCCGCAAAAGTAAACATAAGGTATGACAGTTCTTCTCTATGGAGTCTATAAGACCCCAGATCTCTCCTCTATGCTGGAAAGCAAATTAAAAAAAAAAAAAAAAATGATCTTAGGCTTTCAAGCAATGATTACATCTGCCACAACCGGAACTGGCATCACAGCGTCACTTCTGGCCTCCAGAAACATAGAAAATCCCCGGGAAGATCTGGTCTTTGATCACCTCAAGGATAGTCCAGCGCCAGTGCCGTTGGGGGGGGGGGGAGTGATACTTTTACTCTAAAGAGAATCGCCTGCTGTAAAAATGATACTGGGTTCATGGCTATAGCCTCAACCATGATCCCGGTATAACCGATTCCCTACCAGGATGTGTATATACCATGAAGCAAAAATATTAGCATAAGAAGCTTCTGCTGCTTACAAGGTCTAACCAAGTAAAGAAAATGAATAAGTAAAATTTACAAACCAGCATTTAAAGTTGTTGTAAAGGCTGAAGGTTTTTTATATTATATGCATGAAGGTAAAAAACCTGTGTGCAGCAGCTCCCCCAACCCCCTCAATATTTACCTGAGCCTCACTGCGATCCAGCGATGTGAATAACAGCCTTGGCTGTCCCGAGTCTCTGCCTCCTCATTGGCTGAGACAGCAAGCGGGAGCCATTGGCTCCTGCTGCTGTCAATCACAGCCAGTAAGGCAATGAGGAGAGAGAAGGGGTGAGGCAAAACCGTGGCTCCATGTGTTAAAGGGCACAAGGAGCAGCAGGGTGCCCCCATAGCAAGCTGCTTGCTATGGGGCAACCGACAGACAGAAGGGGCCAGGAGAGCCTTAGGTGGACTCGAGAAGAGGAGGATCTGGGCTGCTCTGTGCAAAATCACTGCACACAGTAGGTAAGTATAGACATGTTTATAATTTTATTTAAAAAAATGAACCTTTAGGATCGCTTTAAGTTCCTCAGTCATACACACCTTCATAATCACCATCATCTTCTTCTGCTCCAATAGGCTCATAATCCTCTTGGATATCGTCATCTATTTCTTCATCATCTCTGGAATCGTCTCGCTTTCTGTCATCCTTCTGAAATAATAAAAATTCTATTTCATAAAAACAGCACAAAAAGAGCTACAACTGTTAAACTGCAGCAACGCAGTGCTATACCTGTCATCCAAATATCTACAGTTTGTGTAATTATACAAAATCCTAAAATATAAATACAAGTCGGAAGTTCAAACACAGTCTGCTTGCTACACTTCTACAGAATGTGTTGACTAGAACCCAAAAAGTACTAAAAGTCTTTATGGATCAGTGTCAGTGATGAAGCAGTATGTACAGTAAATGGATTCATAATCTGCATCGTATGTGGTGATACCAGTCAGCTCGTGAATCATTTTATATGAAAATGATGAGCAGGCTGAAAATGATGCTGTAATGTTGATAATGTTACTGTAATACTTATATCTTTCCTTAAGTAGAACATCCAAATTATAAACACGCAAACCTTTCGGTCATCTCTTTCTTCTGATCTTAGTTTTTCATCTGAAGACTTTCTACGCTTGAGCTTTGGTTCTTCATCATCATCCTTGTCATCTTTCTTGTCCCTCTTGTCTTCCTTCTTTATTTTTTTGTCTCTCTTATCTTCTTTCTCAGGGAGGGTTAAAAAGCTCTTTATATATCCGCACCCCAAAGTCTCTCTGGAGCATTTCATTGAACAACTCTGCAAAAAGAGATACCTGAAGGGAAGACCAAACAAACCGGACAAGTTAGGGAACTTGTGTGAACTTCCATTTCTATCTAATCCTAAAAGCAATGATAGTATCTTCGCTTTCAGTACATACAGTGGGTAGAGAAAAGAATCACCCCCACCCTTTAAAATAATCACATTTTGTTGCTTTGCTGAAATGAAGACACAGTTTTTGTTTTATCCAGCTGTATTTACCATCCAAGGGAAAGCTAGAACACCAACACGTCAGTAATTTGGTTTTTGATTTTTTTTTTCTGAGTTGGAAAAAGGATCACGCTCCCCCCCACTACTAAAAATGACTTGCAAACTCACAAATCAGGTGTAGCTAATTATATTATCAATGGAACACAAAACCATTTGACTTTCAACTGTGATCAGCTGTGGTCATTTTGATTAGCTCAGCATGAAAAGAGCATTTCAGTCCCTGGTGGTGCAACTGGAGAAATCAATTGTGGGTGTTAAGGCACTGTCAAAAGATCTCCAGGATAAAGTTGTGGACAGGCACAAGTCAGGAGATGGATACACAAAAAAAATTTAAAGGCTTAATCAATGCCTAGAAGTACAGTGAAGTCTATTATTAAGAAGTGGAAGGTATTTGGTACAACAGATCCTCCCTGGATCAGGATGTCACACCAAACTGGATGAAAGAGCCAGAAGCAAACTTGTCAAAAAGGCTACCAAGAGGCCTACAGCAACTCTAAAGCAGTTGCAGGAATTCGTGACAAAGAGTGGTCATTGTGTGCATGTGATAACACAAATCTCCACAAATGTGGCTTGTATGGGAGGGCTGCAAGAAAAAAGCCACTCAAGAAAGAACGCATGCAATCATGAATGAGCTTTGCCAAAAACACACCTTGAAGATTCTGAGGCCAGAGTGAACATGCGCGTGGCCCCGGTGTCAGACATGAGCTGAATGAGCTCTGCACACCACCACCTGAATCATAGCTATGTTTAGCGGCAGGAGGACGGACAATGGCTACCGCTTCAACCACACAGTGATGCAACGAAGGGCGGGTGTCAGGGAGATCAACAAGGAGCAGCGCTCCCTTCCCCTGGGCAGGCTCACGCTTCCAAGATGGCGCCAGGTAAGAGAGAACCACAAGTTGGCCTGAAAACAGTTCAACTATGATAACCCCGCACTGCAGAAATGTTTCAAGGCATCTATTTTTACCCCAGTCATCAGGCGACCTAGAGGCGGGCCAACACAATGAGCCCTCTTCAATTTCTCCATCTCCTGCAACTCCCCTGGACATACATGAGTCCACAGGGTCCCCGGCATCATCCATGGATAGGAACATGGCTGAACTAACTTTCAGTCAACCCAGTCCCGCTCATGAATCACCTGAGCTGCAGCCTGTAACCTATTCTGGAGATGCTGTGCTTATTGCTCATTTCTCTGCATTATTCCAGCAAGAGCTCTCCAAGGCCTGCATTGTCATCACAACAGATCTTAAATGGGGCAGAGTATTGGAGAGAGATTAAACAAAAATTTAATCCAAATTGGACGGCACTTAATACGGTCTCTCAGTACACCACCATGATTACACAGCTTCAGACCAGATTGGAGGAAGCATATGCTAAAACTGAGGATCTGAAAAACAGATCCCGCCAATATAATGTCTGTATATGGTGCCTTCCGGAAACCACCACCGACCTGGAATGGGCAGTCCATGTGCTGATCAAAGAACGGATTCCGGGCAGTTCACCTGGCTGACATTATCAGCTGGAAGTGGACAGGGTCCACCATGCTTTACCTGTTCCTCCCCCCTGGTCTGGTGGCCTCCCATGGGACCTAATAGTCAAGCCACATAACTATAGGATCAAAGAAAAATTGATGATGACTGCTGGAAACAAGCCTGACTTCTCCCTGTATGGTACAACCATTCAGTTTTAAGCAGACCTTGCTTCGTCTACAGTACAAAAATGCCAGAGTTTAAAGCTACTTCTACGGCAAATAATGAATCGACAAATAAAGTATTGATGGTCCTTTCCATTTAGACTTTCCATTAATATCCTTGGAAAGCTCTTTTTGTCTTTGCCATGGTGGAGAGTTTGGAATCTGATTGTTTGATTGCTCCTGTGGACAGGTGTCTTTTATACAGGTAACAAAATGAGATTAGCAGCATTTCCTTTAAGTGACTGCTTCTAATCTCAGCTTGTTATCTGTATGAAAGACACCTGGTAGCCAGAAATCCTGCTGAATGATAGGGGATCAAATACTTATTTCCCTCATGAACATGCAAATCAGTATATAATTTGTTAGACATGCATTTCTTTTGAATTTTTTGTTGCTACTCTGTCTCTCAGTGTTACAATACATCTAACATTCGATTTTTACACTGATCATTTCTTTGTGAGTGGGCAAACATTCAAAATCAGCAGGGGATCAAATACTTATTTCCTTCACTGTGTGTGTGTGTATATATATATATATATATATATATATATATATATATATATATATATACACACACACAAGCGTATCTGTGTGAACAATCTGGGAAACGGAAATAGAGTGCAGATGTATGTACACATACACACACATTGGACACAGTCAGTGCTCCTTAACAGGCCTAAGCATTTCAAGGGCAACCTGAAGCCCTCCCTTACTTGGGTATTTTTCTTACACCCTCCTTGCACACCTTGTATTCACGTATCCTCAGCTATATAAAAACTTACTTCAGATACGGCTAATCAGCAAATCAACCCACCATCAAGGTTTGGCAGACTATATTCCTTGAAGATGAATGTTCTCCCGAGAATTTTAGATTTATTTCGCACTATCGCAGTGGCACTTGATAGGTCTGACCTGGCTGCATTCTAAAAGAAGTTACTGTCATTTATGTGGGGAGACAAGAGGCCCAGGGTTAACAAACACACACTATATACCCTCAAAAAGAAGGGTGGCTTGGGAGCCCCAGATTTACGCAAGTATTTTTATGCAGCTCAACTAGCACAGTTAATCAGATTCCATACTACACAATCCCATCCTTTATGGATTAAAGCAAAGTCTTATTCGTGCTCATCTAGGCCAGTCTCCCATATGATGTGGCTGCCAGCCAAGGAAAGGCCCACAATTATGTGCCCTTCTCTTTCACTTGGAATGTGGAATAGAGTCTCCAAGATCGATCATTTCAAATCTCCCCATAGTCCTCTAGCACCATTATTTTGCAATTGGGAGTTCACCCCCGGCCTTGCACCCCAACCTTTTGATTTTTTTTTTAAAGTTTGAGGTCATATACGGAAGATCTATACCATATCAATCTATTCTACAAGAAAACAGGGTTATGTGGAGAAATGGGAACAGGACCTTAACAAAACTTTTGAGATGGATGAGTGGGTACTCAATGGCCTTGCTTGCCTCAAAATCAATCATCAATACTTCTATAACTGAAGCAAATAATAAAGTACTATTATGATAGTACATGGTGCAGTTTTCAAGGCTTTGGACAGGAAAGGGCAGCGTTCCATATATGGTGGCAGTGCACCAAGGAAAGGCATTTCTGGATTCAAGTATACAACTTTATTTACATCCTCACCCAAGTTCATTTGTCCAAGTCCCCGAAACAGACGTTATTGAGTGGTCCGGTGGGAAGTGCCCCGAGACATCTGAGGAGACTAATTACCTTCATATTTGTGTCTGCAAAAATTTCCAGCCAGGTCCTGGAAACTGGCTGTCATACCATTTGAACAGCTTAAGGCTAAACTTTCATGGATCATGATAAATGAGTGTTTATCAGCCATTTTAAATAATAAAATGAAACTATCTGAAAAACTTGGGACCTGCGATTTAAATATTTGATGGGTGATCCTAGGACCATGTCTGCTTAGGTGACTCTCAGGATGGAGGAGGCCGGAGTGCAGGGATCCTACCCCCCCTTCTTCTCCCCCAACTCCTTTCTATACACTTCTTTTTAGCTCTCTTGCCCTTTTCTACTTCTTTTGTGATAACTTAAGGAGAAGATTTACTTCTGCAATAAAGGTTATACGGCCATCATCCCTTTTGGATGAGGTCAACCAAAGACAAGAACGTGAAGGGCGTATTTTAGAGTTTAGACTGTTAATTCCTTTGATACTGTTATGATACTGAATATTGGCTTTACATCACCATATAATGTCCTGATAATGTAATGTTTTCAGTCTGAAGAAGGCTAGAAGACCACTACTGAGTGTAAGGCTATGCACCCTTGGCTTATGTCATCTTAAGTAGAAAGTACAGCTAGCCATTATATACAGTTTGTTGGTGTGTGCCTCCTGTTCTTTTACTTATATCATTACATCTAATCTATAATGAAGGAAGAATAATGACTTTTATACTTTTTTTACATTTGACTTTGACTAAATCGCCACTAACTGTAATTTCTTCTGTGAAAATTTCAATAAACAAAATTGAAAGTGAAGATTCTGAGGCCACATGGAAAAAGGTGTTCTGGTCAGGAGACTCAAATTGAATTATTTGGCCTCAACACTAAACGATATGTCTGGAGGAAATCCAATACAGCTCACCATCCAAATATGGATGAGGCAAAATACCATCACATTCTTGAAGAAAATCTGCTGCCCTCTGCCAGAAAGTGATCAATAGGACCAACATGACAATAACCCAAAGCACACAGCAAAAAAAATACCATACAGTGGTTGAAGGAGAAAAAGGTGTATGTCCTTGCATGGCCTAGTCAGAGTCTTAAGCCCCATTAAAAATCTGTGGAATGACTTGAAGACAGCAGTCCACAAATGGACAGTCACCATCAAATTTAACTGAACTTGAGCAGTTCTGCAAAGAACAGTGGGCAAATATTGCAAAGTCCAGATGTGCAAAGTTAGTAGAGACATATCCCAACAGACTAAAGGCTGGAATTAAAGCAAAAGGTGGTTCAATAAAACACTGACACAAGAGGGTGATCCTTTTTCCAACTTAGTGATTCTTTTTTTGAATTTTTTTATAATTTTTTTCTGACATGTTGATGTTATACCTTTCACTTGGATGTTATAAGTTGCACAGTAAATACAGCTGGATAGAAAAAAAAATGTGCGTTTTTATTTCAGGCTGCAAAGCAACAAAATGTGATTATTTTCAAAGGGTGGGTGACTTTTTTCTTTACCCACTGTAAATGTTAAGAGCAAGTAAAAGCAATGAAGCTCTGCTCAGATACAGTATAAAATGTGATTATTTTTACCCACTGTAAATGTTAAGAGCAAGTAACATTCAATGAAACAAACTATTTTCAAACAGTTATATAAAATGGTGTGGCCAGGGGTAACAAGGAGACCTTCCTGTAAATTCCATATCCTGGAGTACAGTTCAGGACACAGGTAGAGTATTCATTGGGCACTGGCACAGCTTTAGAGGACACGCCCTCTGGCCATCTTCCCTAGAATCCAACCCAACTCAGTGAATCCTCAGTTTTATAGCAAGTAAAGGATAAAAAAAAAAAAAAAAACAAGAAATGAAAGGGAGGGTGAACTGTGTCCTGTACTGTACTCCATGATATGAACTTACAGGCAAGTCAAAATTCCTCTTATCTTATTCGTACAGTACAGGACAAAGACAGAGTACCAGTATACCATGGGACATCCCCAAGCAATGAATAGGAATGAGACAAACACACCTAAACAACAAGGGTCAGAAGACTCAACCTCAAAGAACAATCCTGCAGCTAAAAGCTGAATCCACTCAAGAGTAGATGTCCACCTGATAAAACTTTGGAAAGTATGAACAGAAGACAAGGTGGCGGCCTTACACAGCTGGGCCACAGGTTCTGCCAAAATGGTGCCCAAGAAATAACCTCTGATCTGGTGGAATGTGCACAGAGAAGCGCAGGACGACCGTATAACCAGATTTTGCATTTATAATGCAATGGTGAACTTTGAAGCAAGGTCCCAAGAACAAGACAAACAGGGAATCCATCAGTCTGATTGGAGTAGTAGCCTTGAGGTATACTCCAATGGTTCCGACTACATCCAGGCAATGCAGCAAAATTTCCTTTGGATGTTTAGGAGCAGGGCATAAGGATGGGACGACAATGTCTTCATTGAGGTGGAATGTTAAGACCACTGATGTGGATGACCTTGGGCATAACACAATCTTGAGGTTGTGAGGAAACACTCTTTTGCAGCAATAGAGCGGCCAATTCAGAAACATGTCTGGCAGGTGTGAAACCGAACAAAAAGTCTACTTTGCATGAGAGATCCTCTTGGGAGAAATCCCAACTAGGATCAAAGGGTGGTTTCTGAAGAACAGAGAGAACTAAGTTGAGATCCCAAGAGAGCATAAGGTGCTGCAAGGGGGGACGTAATGCAAAATATACCTTGAAGAAAGGCTCTTACAAAGGGAGGGTGAAGCCAGAGGCCTTTGAAAAAGAATGGATAAGGCCAAGAGCAAACATTTAAGGAGTACTTAACCATTTGCCCTCCTGAGGATTTACCCCCCTTCCTGACCAGGCCATTTTTTGAGTTACGGCGCTGCGTTACTTTAACTGACAATTGCGCGGTCATGCAATGCTGCACCTAAATAAAATTTATGTCCTTTTTTCCCACGAATGAGTTTTCTTTTGGTGGTATTCAATCACCTGTGCGGTTTTTATTTTTTGCACCATGAAAAAAAAAATAGATTGACAATTTTGAGAAAAAAAAAACAATATTTTTGACTTTTTGCTATCAAACATAATCAGTAAAAAAAAATCAAATTCTGTCATAAATTTAGGCCAAAATGTATTCTGCTACATGTCTTTGCTAAAAAAAGAACAAATAAAACAACATGTGGAAATTAATTGGTTTACGTGAAAGTTATAGCGTTTACAAATGGAGTTATAGATACTGTCATTTTTTTCCTTTGTTCATTTTTACTAGTAATGGTGGCAATCAGCGACTTATAGCGGGACTACGGCGGGCATTCTTACACTGGAGGGAACTGACTTGGTGTTACTGACATCCCCAGTGACACCAATACAGTAATCAGTGCTAAAAAAAAAAAAGAAAAAAAAGCACTGACACTGTACTAAGGGCACTGGGTAGGAAGGGGTTAACATGAGAGGAAATCAAAGGGTTAACTGTGTGCTGTTTTACTTGTGTCTGTGTGCTTCATTGCAATCACACTGCTTTGCATGGCTGTGTTGTGCACAGCCATCCAAAGCAGTGTGCACGGGCTGACAGGGAGGAGAACTGTATTGTTTACATCCAGTTCTCCCTCCCGTCGGAGATGCTTGGGAATCAGCGGACGCCGGTGAGTAATCACCAGCCGGGACCCGGTGATTGACAGCCGAGGCCGCGAATGGTGGCACAGGTAGGCCTTGCATGCACTCTGTATCTGGAAATACAAAATCACGTATATATACACACGTGATTTTGTGCACCCGTGCCGCCCTGCAGCAGTAAATCTGCTATAGAGCGGTCGAGAAGTGGTTAATTTCTGGTCAAGATGTGTTTGTAGGAAGGTCAGACTGTAGGTACAGAGTATTCTCTGGGACTGAAGTGCCTATTTTCACACTAGAAAAAAGGAATTCCAGGTGTGATAATAATCACCGTTTTCCACTCTTGCTCAATTTTCTTCAGCAGACTAGGTACGATTTGCACTGGAGGGAAGGTATGAAATTAGCCCGAACTGAGACCAGGGTTTTATGAAGACATCTGAGGCTAGAGGATCCCTGGTTTGGCAATGAACAGAGGTATATTATTGTTTAACTTGGGAGGCTAGATTGTCCACACAGCAAACAAAAGGCTAACAAGCCCACAACAAACCAACATGTTACCAAAGGTGGCTCAAAAGTGCCTACAGAGCTCCCTGAAGAACTTTACAATCTAAGCTGCCAGCAGCTGAGGCCAGAGCATCCAGCTGGTAAAACTTAGAAAACACGTGAACAGAAGTCCAAGTGGTAAATCTGATAAATGGATGTTTGATGCTAAAAAAGCCCAAGAAGCACTAGCTGACCTAGTGGAATGTGTTTTAACAGGGAAAGGGGGAACCTTGCCCTCAAGGAAGCTGCAAAAATGAGCCCCCGTGACTCTGCAGCAACTGAAGAATCTTGCTAGCAGAAAAATATCTTGACAAAAAAGTAGTTAAAAAGAAAATGGTTTGCTTCTCTCAGATCAGATGTTATCCATTCTAAGAACACTAGCAAAAACCTGTGGCATGGAAGTGTGAGAGAGTGTAAGAGGGGGTGTTTGATTGGGTTGTCCTTATAGCTTTGTTTCATCATTGCACTCATGATCAGAGAATCATGGGTGAAATGCCTGGCCAGTGCAGATCAAGGCCCTTATGTTGCTGTCCATTACCGAACAAATAAGATGGATATTCCTAGATTGTAAGCTCCAAGGAGCAGCGCCCTCCTATCCCCTTGTATTGAACTGTACTGTTGCTGTATTGTCTCCCGTTCTATTGTAAAGCGCTGAGCAAACTGTTGGCGCTATATAAATCCTGTATAATAATAATAATAATAATATTCCTTTAGTGTGATTTAATACACTGAACAAAAAAAAAATGAAGATCACTACTGTTATTGCCGATCAATGTACTGTAGATGTCACAAAATGTAAGCTCAAGTGTGCAGGCTTACAGGAATTAACAAGTATTACCTGCATTGCTATAGACCATTAGGCTTGCTACGTTCATAGAAAGAAATGTATGAACATGGAGAGGTTGTGCACAAAAAAATGCAACTCAGCACTGCACCAGTCATCAGAAGTTACAGCGCAGAGCAGCCGCGTGTGTGGATGGCTAATCTGGTTCATTGCCAATGCAAGCCAGCCCTTAAAAGGGTAAACACATGGAGCAATCACACCACTTATAAACAGGTAAGTAAATAAATTTTTTTTTTTTTTTTTTTTAGCAACTGCCATTTTATAGCTCCATAATCCTGTCACAAAGTATAGGATTTTACAGCACATACCTCAAATGAGTGCTCCTTATTGTCCTCTATCCTGTAGTCCAACAGGACGCTTAGAGACATGATGCTGCAGTCAAACTTCCCATTTTTTGCTGACCAGTTTGGATGTACAATAATTGCAGGCTCTTCAGGTAAGATGTATCTCTTTTCTCTTCTCTGACGCTCCATTTCTTCTTGACGTTTTCGCTCCTCTTCCTAGGGAAAAAAACAGCACGTTTCCTTGTTGAAATGTAATCCAGATAGTGGTTTATGTAAGAGTAAGGATTAAACAGAATTCAAACCTCTTTATCATCTTCAGATTTCCGCTCTTCCTCCTCCTCATCTTCTTTTTCACACTTTTCTTGCTCCTTCTGCTCCTCTTTTTGTTCTTCAACTCGAAGCTGCTTTGTTAATCGAGCAATCAACTGAGATTTTAGTCCTTTGGAACTAAGTGTTCGACTTTCTAGCTCTTTTCGCAAATCATTTACCTGTCCAAAAAATTTTCATACGTAGAAAAATCACACTGCACATCATAACTAAGAATTATTGCATTATTTAAAGAAAATATATCATATTTTTTATTTTACAGTTCTGTCCCATTTGGGACAAAGTACATGTACAAGGGTTAGACAAAGAAATTGGAAACACCACATGATTTGCAGGTGTGAAAGTGAAAAAAGTTGCTTCCGCTGTGTGATGAGACACCTAACTAACAGGTGGGAAGCCTCACTTTCATCATTCACCGTGTGCGCTGCTAGTAATACGGAGTCATGTCAGAGCTTACTGGGCCAACTGAGATTACTGGGCAAATTGTTAATGCCCGCTTAGCTGCGGCCTCTGTGACTAACGTTGCCAATGTATTTACCACTTCGCAAGGTACCAAATCAAAGGTTATGACGGCATATACAGTTTCCGGGAAAACGTCGTCTGATAAGGATAGGCATGGTCGACATGGTCAACTGACCAAAAGAGACAAAAAGGACATTGCATAGGATTGTGACCCAGAATAAGTAATAAACTGTTGCAATATTGACTGCAGAGCTCAATCTCAGTCTTCATGTTAGCTAGGTGTCTCATCACACAGCAGAAGCAAAAGAATATTACATCACTTCCGCTTTCAATACGAAACGTGTTATCACTTTCACACCTGCAAATCATGTAGTGTTTCCATTTTTTGTTTAACCCTGTAGTAATGCGTCCCATATTTCTAAGTGCCTTTTAATTATAAGGTCTGACCTGCCCCCCTCCCTTCCTGATGCAGACCCACAGCAGCTAAGAGGTAGATGGCTGTTTTAGAGTTATAGCTGCCGTTTGTCTCAGCTGTGAGTACTTTTCCGAGACAAGCAACAGTAAGAGCAATGCATAAGGAGGAAAGGGGGGGGGGGCATCCTTTGCATTACCTCTTGCTGCTACTTGTCTTGAGAGAGTTCTCACAGCTAAGACAAGCTGCAGCTATGTATCAACAATACTGCAAATACTTTGTTCCACAGGGGACAGAACTGCAAAATAAAAATTATAATAGATCTTCTTTAAAGGCTCATTCACACCATGGTGCAGAGACATCAGTTTTTCTGTATGCATTCTGCAAGGGCATAACAAGATCAATTGTGTCTATGTGCCCTGTTCACACTGCAACACTAGTACCACATGCAGATTTTTTCTGCACAGAACGTGTATAAAACCCATTGACGCGTGCATGAAAACTGATGTAAACTGATGGCTCTGCAAGTGAAATCTGTATGTCAGTTTCTAGCAGTTTTTCTGCACGTATGATGTGAACAAGGCCTAAAGCTCTGCACTTCAAAGTGAACCTGTCAGTGAATTAAAAGCAACAAATGAAGTACACTTTGTGACACTGTAAGTACCTTTGTTAAATCTTAATGAATTTCTGTGTGTTTAGAAAGCCTCTTGTGTAGTAGTGCACACTATATACAAGAGACTACCCCATCATTCTGACAAGGAGCCAAGACCAGCCCAAGGTCATTTAACAATGTGGTGTGACAGCATATACAAGTTGAAGTACGTCTCACTGGATTAATGAGTAACAGAAGCTTTGCAGTGAATAGGGGCTGATAACAGGACATTCTGTCCACAGGTGAACTGGAAAGATTTAAGATTTTACAGATGTACTTTCAGGCAGCACAAAGTGCCTACCCTGTGAGTGTGAAATACATTTATTGCCTGTACTTAATCTTCAAAGCTCCCTTTAAAAGGGCAGGAACTCGAAAAAAAACTGATATTCATGTACTAGCTGGATACCGTCTGTCAGAATCTCTCAGCAATCTAACAATCCAGCCATTACAATCAATTTTCAATCTTTCCACTATATTCTACATTTTTAAAAATGCAGTAGATAGGAGAAATTGCTTGACTGTGCAATAGTAATTTCACAAATGGCAGAGCCAGGGACCGCACGTGGTACTCTTGCCACCAGATGTGAAAAGAGAGAGAAAGATTTAAAAACAAATTAGGTCCAGGCAGATGTAAAATGACAACTTAATACGGCTCTACATTTATTAATAAATTCCGGGGTTTTTTAAATGCAACTAGTGTATGACTTCTCAGCCTTCTGAATTCATCTATACAACAGCACTCAGACTGGGAAAGGGAGCAGCAGAACCATGAGCCAATCATGTAAATGTGTTAACAAGCAACATGCTGACAGAATCAGGGAGCAGAGAGATGAGCTCAATCTGGTGCAACTCTTTCATGGTCCAGTAACTAGGCTGAGGATGAGAGAGGACACCATTATATTCCTTAACTATAAGTGGTGTCATTCATCTAGCTGTGCAAGGAGAACAGACAGAAATGCAAAGCAGGTGTATTTAGCTGGAGTTTAGTTTCAAATGGAACAGAAGAAATTGAAGCCAAATTGTAAGATATTCTGAATTTGAGGCAGATGAAAAAGGATGCTTTCATGCAAGTAAAATAAAAATGTATGTAAATACTTGTTATTGAGTTGCTTAATCAGAGTTTTACAGAACAGGGTTTGAACCCTCAATGTACAGGACAACACAGTGCTTTCCATTTTTATTGCATTTCTTCAGACATACATATTAATAGCACAAAGGCCAATAATATGGTTTATTGTACAACCACCAGCTACGTGACAAACAAACGGACTTGATTTATAGGCATTGGCTGCTATAAGCTTTGGACAGTCTTGTTCCTTGCATGTAATTAGAATAGCTCTTCATGGTCATAAACTAACTGCCCACTAATCACTGAAACACTGTGATGAATGCTTAAAACTTAAAAAACAGTGCAGCGCTGAAGATAGTAGTAATAAAACAGAGATAAGTCCACTGCAAGTCCAGTTCATAGAAACATGTCAGGTGACAAGTGGAAATTCAATGTTGGTGATCCGTGAGGAAGTGGCTGAAATACGCACTCACCAGAAAGAAGATATATATAAAGCAGTATATATCAAAAGCCCATGGATCCTCAATCCAGAAGGAACAAAGCTGGTCCATGGAAGTGTCTCGCTGTTCTGTATTGGAGCACTTTGTTTGCAGAACCCTGACTTTGGAATCCAATACCAAACTGGGAGGAGGAAGATCTTTTGCTGCATCCTTAAAGGTGGGACCCACTTTCTGTGACCAGACCAGCTTTGTTCCTTCTGGATTGAGGATCCATGGGCTTTTGATATATACTGCTTATATATATATATATATACTGTATATATATATATATATATAAATATATATATATATCTTCTTTCTGGTGAGTGCGTATTTCAGCCACTTCCTCACGGATCACCAACATTGAATTTCCACTTGTCACCTGACATGTTTCTATGAACTGGACTTGCAGTGGACTTGTTTCTGTTTTATTACTACTATCTTCAGCGCTGCACTGTTTTTTATGTTATTCTGTATAAGTATATATTGATTGCTTAGAGTGCTCAGCTGCTGTTTAGGACCAGCGCTCACTGTTCTTTTCCTTTTAGAATGCTTAAAACTCCTCCCTTAAACAAATTATATAGCTCTCAGGGTACTTTATATCTAATGATACAAGGGCTCACAGTTCTGTGCTATAATGGAAATATGGAGTGTGGCTAAGTTCTTAAAAATGTTACAGGAAAAGCAAGTAGACAAGGTTCAGTGGAAGCCAGTCAAAACATGTCATTTCTGTGACTTTTAAAGTGGTTGTAAAGCCTAAATATTCCCTGCATTAAGGCAAAAAATGTTTCAGTTTATGTATTGCTGGCTCACCCCCTATACTTAATGTGCCCAATCTCAATAGAGCACTGTCCCCATCTGTAGCAGCTCTTTCCTCTTCTCCCCGCTCTCACAGGCTTTGTTAAGAGCAGCGGGAGCCATTGACTCCCACTGTTGTCAGTCAAATCCTGTGATGAGGGAACTATAGACGTAGGCAGTGCTGCTCGGGATAGATCCCACTGGTGTGTCACACCAAGAAGAAGAGAGGAGCCAGGAGCACCAGCGGGGGACCCAAGAAGAGGAGCAGGGCTGCTCTGTACTATACCATTGCACAGAGCAAACAAGTATAACAGGTTTGTTATTTTAAAAGAAAAAAAAAAAAATGACTTTACAAACACTTTGAGTTAAACTCCCCAAGTGTGTCCAGGCTATCCTTCTCTGCTATGGTAAATAAAGCCAGTTAGAGCTCATGATGAAATTTATGCACACAACTTAATAAGTCAGAAGAGCACCAACCCTGCTTCTTGTTTCTTTCAGACTGCTCTATCTAAAGTTTTAATCAGACACACATCGTCTGAAAGTAACAAACTCTGCATTCCTCTCTCTTGAATAAAAAAACAACAGAAATGGATATCGTTCTCTATAAAAAGAGTTGGCAATTACCTTCATGATCTTCGGATCAAGTTTGGACCAGTGAGTAGGAGTACAGATTTCCTTTGCATCCCCATCATCTTTGTCTTCTTCTTCCTAACATAAATGTACAAGAGCATGGTTAGTAAACTACTACTGGAGCAATGAATTCTGTCGCAGGTCCGTGCAAGTAGCAAGGTCACAATTTCTCATTGTCTTCTCCTAAAGCTTTGTTGAGGCACATACACACATTCTAGCACTTTCACTGACCACTAAGTCAGTCAGAGTCAGATCTGTGAAACAAAGGGAGGATGAACAGGAAAAGCAATACAAGTATGTACAGCCACTGCTCGTCTGCATAGACTGCACAGTGTGCATAGTCCCATGTCTGCAACTTAAGCCACCCTGTGTTAATTCCAGGTGATAACTATTCCTTTATAGCCAAACAATCACAAGGTTCAGATTTTATTATTTACAGATTTAGGGATGAAAATGATTAATGTGAACCTTCACAGAGATGGGAAGATGGTGAAAAGGGCCAACTGTCACTAAATACAACTGACCCCACAAGCTAATTCTACTATAGGCAAAAAACAAATTGAATAAAATGATATATAGAAATATAAGGTAAATATCATTTTTTCCATGTTAGGAAGCTGGTATAAGTAAGAGACACGCAAGGAGTGTTCTTTTGGGGAGTGTGTTTAGTGTGTGCGGTGCATTGTGCCTGTGTTCCTGTGCCTGCGAGAAGCGGAAATAGAAAAAGTTATTAGCGTTCAGTGCCTGTTCTCCATCAGCTTCTTTGCGTTCACCCTGAAGCTTGTCGGCCAGCTGCTGCTTGTATCCTCGGCACAGGTTTTCCCACTCTGAGCGGGTGGGAAGGCAATGCCAAACATCCGGGAAAAATAAAACCACTGTCTCCACATGAGCAGGAACCGAACGCCCCTTGTGGGTCTCCTCAGGGCGATGGTAGCGAATCTCTGCAAAACGGTACCTGTTGCAAGGGAAGAAGCATGTTGGAAAACAAAATCTAGAATGCATTGAACATAAGAACCTAGATCTCTTGCAGCACATCAAGAACAGCTAGCTCTGGTTTGTCTACAAAAAGAAAATAAAAAAAACACACATTATATAAAGGCCATTGGTTTTCTTCCGGTAAGTCGAAGCATTGTTTCGAATACAGTATATAAGACAGAGTGAATGGATGTCAATACTGAACTTTCCATAAATTTGCAAAAATGTATATGGACAGTACTCCGTATTATCAAGCATGTTAACTTCAGGCAATGTAATTTCGGCAGAAGAATAAAATTTGCGGAGGAGGAGTGTCAACAAAGCTCGAAATACCATTAGAAAACACGGCAACACAACTGGGTTTTTAGATAGTGTAAGATGTGATCTTCTGGACGATCTGCAGCTGAGCATGAAAAAAAAAAAAAGTCTTCATAATGCACAGAAACATTTAACAATAATTAAAATAGCAATACAAAATGTAAACTCCCCCGCTCCTCCTCTGTACCTGACAGACATACCAAATCTGGCATAACTAGAGCACCTGCATAGCTTGGGGGAAGGGAAGCCGTTGATAAGGGGGACATGTCCCGGGGTAAGAAATGTACTTACCACTGTGTGCACAAGCTCAGGTCAATGCCAGTCAGGGCCTTACAACAGCGCACAGCAGTTTTGATGAGCACTGAAGGGTCTTTATCTGGATTCGGTCCATCCAGTGAAGGAGACCAGTGTCCTCCAATTGCCATTGCCTCATCCTTACCCTTCATCCCCACTAAAAACTGTACAAGGAAACAAATACAAGTAACTTTGAACACTTAAGCCTGAACTGATTACATAAAATACTAAGCATAGAAAACAAATTACACAGAAAGGCATCTGTTTCTCTCTTATACAAGCATTCCTGAAATCCAGTTAAAGCTGATGAACTGTATGTAGCTTCAGATACAAACAGTACACAGTGCTGGATTCTGCCTGTGAGATACAGACTTCCTGTCTCAACACCCAGAACTAAACAGTCGGTCTGAACGGAGCTCAGCCATTCATAGGCAGCATTGTATTCTGTGTGTGCGCTATCAATGTTGTTGCGGAAACACTGATAAAAGTCAATCACCTGAATGTTAATGGTAGGAATCCATAAAAATTGTTATGATTTTCTTAGCAACAAATCTTCACAAAACAGGAGAAGACAGCCACTGTGAGAAAAGTTGCCCGTGTGTCATTAGCCTTAAAATAAACCTGTGACGATAGAAGTATGGAAGCTGCTATTATTGCCCTTGTAAAGAAACCAGTTTTCCATCTGTGTTACCAATTCTTTACTACTTTGAGTCGTAGAACTGGAACAAAAATGAAGATCAGGAGTTCTGACTTTGCTCTGACTTCACCAGCTCCAAGCTTTTGTACCAGGCAAGAGACTCATAAAATAATGAGCTATCAAGCAACTAGCATTTTTTGGAAGAGGTCAGCAAAGACCACCTTCATATCTCTCACTTATTGCAGATTTTTTTTTTCAAAGCCATAGTCTTCCAGTTTTCAACTCCCCTTTGATGCTCCAAAATACTAGTCTATTGGTGCAGGATCCTTCTGGGTCTGACTAGCCTCTGACATTACCAGTCCTCCGTTGTGACTGAGCTGATCTTCTCTGAGAGACAGGGACACTGGCTGCTCCAACAGACAAACGTTTTTTATGGAGGAAGTGAACCTGAATTTCATTCAACTTTAGGTTCACTTTAACCTCCCTAGCAGTATGATGTCAATATTTCTGTGCTCAAAGCGGTAAATTTTTTGCATGGAAATAGGTCATTTTTTTTATTGTAAGCCTGTAATTTTTAGGAATAACTCACTGAAATCTGTCAGAACAAGAGTCTAGTAAACATCCCGAGTATGATAAAATTTGAAACACGAAATCATAAATTATAATGTAATAAATAATCATAAAAAATAATAATATAATAATTATAAATTTAATTCAATAATGTAATCAAACCAAAAACACTGAAATTTGAAATATAGCGTCAAGTTCACACATCACTGAGCTTAGTTGCAAAATCGTTTTCAGTGTCTGATGACGAGTTTCCCCACGAATCATTATCACTCAATTCTCCAAGTAGTTCTAATTTACTATCACTGTTCTCTAGCTGGTCTAAAACCGATTTTGGCCTAAAAGGGATGCTTTTTGGACGCCATGGACTTTTCTCAGTTTCTAGGCAGAAAGAACAGTAAAAATGCAGGCAGGGCACAGGACAAAGCAGTAGGGACAAAATGTATGTGAAATGCTTTGATACAGTAATGTTTTACTATGTGATTTTAGTGTATTTAGTGAATGTCACTTTTAAAATTTTTGAATTTCCTGCTGGTTCCGTCCCCTGTACATCCCGACGCTCGCAGGGAATGGAACCCGGAAGACAGATGCCGGCATCAGCCGGAGGAGATGGCCGGGGACGCTGCAGGGGGGACATCGCGGGAGCGCAGGACAAGGTAAGTGAAACAGGGATCCCGGAGCAACACTGCAGGGTATTCCCGAGTGTAGCCCGGGGTTACCGCTTTTGGTACTGAAAGTTTACCCCGAGCTACACTCGTGAATACCGCCAGGGAGGTTAAGAGAGAATCCATTTTTCTTTTTTTTAGAATGTGTAATTCAAACCAACAAATGTTTCTGTTGATATTTACCTTAATTAGCCTTGCTGGATGCTGGAAGCCTTCTTTAACTTCCACTGGGTCCTCAGCAAGAGCGCATGACTTGTGATATAAATCCTCCAAAGATGGACTTGCCAACAACATGACCTAATATGAACACAAAGGAAAAAAACAAATGGGTAATCCTTTAGTAAAAAAATGTTCACAGTTCACAATCCAGAATCCTGTTCTAGATCTAATACTGGCAGAGAGTAACGGTATAATGTATCCTCCAAGCAGGCACTTTAGTGTCCCCTAAATTACCAGTTACAGATTTAACACGGTTTCAATGTCAATACCAGCGTTTAATCTGTGGCTCACAAAGTCTTACTGCCAGACGGTTCTCCAAAATCCACTTCTGGCTACACTCCCACAGTCACCCGTCTCTCTCTCTAGTAACAGCTTGAACCTTTTTGTCTGTACCGGTTCCAGACAAAAGTATCCACCTGCAAGCCGAATAATGTGATAAAACTTGTCTTCCAGGTGTACCTTTCTATTACAGGCTACTATTCAGCTGCAAGTCTAAGACTTGAAGGAACATACAGAGCATGTCAACCTTAGAGTGAATCTGTGCTTTAGCCCATGCACGGCAACAGGTCCACTTTACTGCCTACTCTTCAGCAACATGCTTTCACTTTCCTGCCACATTGCTTAGTTTCTGGAAGTGAAAGGAAACCCCTTGTAAACAACAAGTCACTGGAAACATAGCTCACACAGGACTACGGACTCTATGTGGCAGCGCTATCACATGGAGTGAGTTGAATGCTCATTCAGACCTAAAAGCACTAGGTAGTTCCTTCAGCTCCCAGTGGAAAAATATGCTGGTAAAGGGTAGGGAGTTAAGTCAAACCTAGCATTCTTTAACCGCCTCCAGCTCACAATACAAGGAAATGACGGGAGGAAGGCGGTTCTCTCGTTCTTTGAGGACGTCATATGACGTCCTCCCACTGTAACTGCCCGGGGGCGTGCAGCATGGTGATCGGTGGTGTGCTGTGTCCCTGGGACACAGCGGATCACCGATCAACAGAAAGAGCCGAAGACGTCAGCTCTATCATGTGATCAGCTGTGTCCAATCATAGCTGATCGCATGTAAATAAGGAAATGCCGGTTATCGGCATTCCTCTCCTCACGAGCTGTCACGCTGATCGGCATTACTCAGAGGGGACATCTACACTGGGCATCAGGCAAGTGATTAAGTTAATATAAAGCACGCTTCATTTGACAAACTTACCAAATGCATCACATGCCCCCGCAAGAAGGTAGCATGAGCCAAAAACCACGACTGGCCCAAAATATGGCTGTATACTACACTTTTAAATTTGCAAAGTTTCTCAAATGAGGCATGCGATACTGTAACTCAAGAATGGTATATTATATGGTTTTAATTAGCATGAAGTGGATGGACACACCAAAGAGACAGACTGTACAGATACTTGTCTTGTTGAGAACCTGCACAGTAGCCTAATTGAAGCCACTGCCTAGCCAAAGATCTGAGGGTGGCAAATAGCCAGAATGAGCATTTGTTTCCAGAGATATGAGATATGAAGGGGTGTGTGGCCATCACCATCTCTTAAGACCTGCAGAACAGACACTAGAGAAAACTAGTGTGAAACTACTTTTTTCTAGAAATTCAAAGCTAAAGCACTTAAAAATGCAACTTGAAGTATATATCATATATCCACTGTGTCAATAATATATAGATAAGCGGACTCTGGAGTGTGCAATTCTTTACAGGCAATCTTTTATACTGGTTTTAAACAATATGTATAATGTATACCCTCCATGGCTGAAACATTTATAATAGAAAGCTTAGTTGATAAGAGTGAAATATAGGCTGGCCATAGACGGGCCGTTTATCAGCCAAATTTTCGGCCGATAAAGGAGAAAAAAAAAAATCGGTCGTTGCTGCCATGGATGCTGCCACCAATGCTCACGAAAAACGTCCGTTGTTCGTGGATTTTCCAGCATGACCGATAAAAAGAAACGAGAAGATTTGCGAAAACCGGCAGACAGCATTGCCCCACTAACAGCGTGAATATCGGCCGATATTTCGTTTTGACCCATCTATGGCCTGCAATAACATCTAGGGATGTGTATGGATAATTACTTCCTCCCCATTGTTTGCATATACACACACAAAAAACACATTGGGGCATTTCCCAAGTGAATCCCTATAACAAGCTTAAAGTAATAAAAATCTTTTCCATGCACACCAATAAACACACCACACCTTTGCACTGTATGTGTGATCCACATCAGGTGGGTCCAGTACAGCAGTGTTTTTATCAAGAGGATCCACTTCCTTGTGTATTACATAGAAGTTACTGTAGCTACCAAGCTGAAAAGGACGAGAGATAGGAAAAGCATCCACCCACGTGAACTGGGCATCAAAGAAATCACTGGGAATGTACAAGTTCTGATAACGTCTCCTCAGCTCCATCATGTCACATCCGGGACTGCATGATAAACAAAAAGTACAGCACTCTGAAAAATTGCAAAAATACAGTATAGAGCATGCAAGAATATTCTCAGAATTACTGAATACTTCTGTTGCCTTACAGCAAGTAAAGTCTTTTCTTTTTAAAACTAACATTTCATACACACATGTGAATGACAAAATTTCAGTACTACAGGTTCCAAATTCTGCAGTTCCCTGTCAGTGTTTTACAAAGTTTTCCAGCATAGATAATACATAATTGTAATCAATATTGCCAACTTTCACAACCAATATACTGTAGCTGCAAGTGGACTGGAAAAAAAAAACAAATTTCCTATATGGTCAGAGACGGTAACGTTTGAGCACAGGTTACATAATATAGGTCCATAGAACCATAATGAATGCCAAAGACCACAGCCGTATTTAGGTTTCCTTAAGTTTATTTAATAAATGAGACTGAATTAATATGAATGGACATTAGTTGGTGTACTTAACCCACATATGTAGATTTATTTTGAATAAAATGGACAGGTATCTCTTAAAACAAATTGATACCCATTTACCGGAGGAAACATTTTCCAGAATACCATTAAAAGTATAACTGAAGGCAAAACCTTTTTTTTAGTTTTGGACAGAGTGCAGAGGGATTAGAACCCATATTGGGTATTTATTGCTGTCTGTGCCCCTGGTAAGAAGATTCTCACTCTCTAGTTGTCCTGTTTACCATTATCATTGAAAGTCAAAGTAAAAGAAAACCCCAAATTTTAGGTTGTGCCCAGAAAAGTAATAGAGGGGAAATCTTCCAAAGAGGACACTTCTGGAGAAGGAATTCCCTTAATTTTCAGGGATTTGCTAAAACGCTCTGTTTGTCTATGGGACAGGAAGTCATAGGAAATCTTCACAATGGGACACAGATGGTGAAAAAAAATCTGACAGGGGTTATAACCCTCCCTTGCTCTATCCAAAATGAAAAAAAAAAATTAGTTTTGCCTACTTTAAGAAATAAAAAAAAGACAAAATAAGTAAGAAGTTAAAAGTTAGGATTATTGTTCTTCCTGAAAACATAGCTACATAGGTTAAAAGGTTGAACTGGGGTGTGTGTGAGAGAGAGATTTTTATTCTCTAATAATTCCCATTATCCCTCTTATATTCTACCTCCTGCGGAAGACATCTAAAGAATTTCTTTTTAAGTTGTCAACACTTTCAGCTAATACCACTTCCTGGGAAATGGAGTTCTACATTTTTACTGCTCTAACTATAAAGAACCAATTCTGAAACTAAGCTTTCTATAGGCAAAAAGTTTGTTTTTTTTCCCCACACAGGTGATCTGATAATGTCCGCCTGTCAGTACCTCCAATCAGATCCAGTCCTCTTAAAAAAAAAAACCAAACAAACAAACACAACATGGAAGGGGATACATTCAGCAGGTGATCAGAGAACAGATTCCCTGCTAAGCAAAAAAGTGAAATGGGCCTTAACTGACACCAATGTCCCCATGGCATATTTGCTCTCCTCTATTTCTCCTTTCACAGATTACTAAACTTCCAATCCTGGCCACGTGTCCTTTTCAGAGTGAATAACTAATCTGTCTAATTGATCCTCATAGCTGAGGTGCTGCATGCTTCTCATTAAACTGTCATCACAGGGCACTTCATATTCATGTCTACTTGGGCTATGCTGCCACCTTCAGATGAATAGACATTGGTAATTAAAAAAAAAAAAAAAAAAAAAAAAAAAAAAAGGGCATGAATTCCCTGCCAAGGTAAAACCCATCCTAGCTTGGGAACCATAAACAGATTGGAAAAGAAGTTGTGAGACCTTTCGGCATGGGTGCTATGACCCATGTGACAGCAGACTTTCCAGAGCTGCACTCTTTTTTGTGGTTTCCTGAATCCAGATGACCGCGAAGGCCGATTGACATCCCCCCACTGTGAACAGAACTTGCCCCTAGAACCGTAGAACTTGGGGCCTTCTTACGGAACTGGGATGTAGGCTTCTGCTTAGTGCCAGAGGCTTTCTGCTTACAAAAGAAACTCTTCTTGGATTAAGAAAGAGTCACCAGTTTATCACCTTCGCTACCTTCTTTAAGGGTAAGAGTGTGCTTACCACAGTCACCTTCTGGATGAAGGCATTCAAGGATGGTCCAAACCAGAATTTGCCCTTAAAGGGCAGTCTCTCAATTTGCTTCTTGAAGAGAAATTCTGCCAACCAACACTTGAGCCATAGGATCCTTTCCACGGGTACAGACATGGCGCCCACCCAAGAAAGCTGCCTCACTGACTTTTCCAAAGCTTCCATCAAAAAACTCAAAGCTCTTGCAAAACCTTTCAGTATTTGACAGATGGCAGGATTCCCTCTGGTTCCAATTGCCTGAACGAAGCATACACTTTGCTCAATATTTAAGGGCTTGGCAAACTCCCACAGCAGGCTGCAGAGCCAATCCTACCAGAGAGAAGAGGGTTTCTAACTGTTTACTTGCAATGTCTTTGAATAAGACCCTGATAATAGTCCCCATGGGTAAGGCCCCAGTCTTTGAACAGGAAATGACTGGGTTATTATCCACAGAACCCAAATTCTTCTAGAATTCCTCCTCCACCACAAAGCAAATCATTTTAGAGGTGAAAACACCTTCTCCAGATGAGACAATTAGGCATACATCACTTCAAGCAAGCAAGTAAGGTTGTACTCAAAATGAATTGGAACATTTTGGTGGCTACCAGGACCAAAAGCCAGTGACTTTTGGAGAAGTGGACTCAGGAAGTGGTAGCTTCAAGCTAGTGTGCACCATGTCCAAAACGATCCCCACTTAGTCTTCTGTCTGCAACGATTCCAGACCCCTAGGTTCCTTTTAGGAGGATTCCTCTATGGAAGATTACAAATCCTAGACAGCTTCCACCTTTTATGAGGATACTACTCTGACAAAAAGGGGAGGATTGGAAGAAGTGCACCCTTGACAAACAGGAAATAAAGAATCCTGCCCCTGAGAGTGAAATACCAAGTACTGGCAATGATTCAGAGCTCATCTGATCCTTGAGCCTCATTCACATAGATGCTTGTGAATGGCTGTACACGCCTTTGCTCAAGTAGATGCAATGGCTTCTGCATCAGCAGTTAAACATGCATGTGGCATGTCTACCCAAATACAAAAAGGGGCACATCCGGCGCATTTACCCAAGTATTGCCTCATACAGAAATTCACTTGTACTGCTGGCTGTGCGTGGAATGTGCGGCTCCCAGAGTGCCAGAAAATGGCAGGTAATTTATGCCTCAGCACACAGGAGCAGGTAAGTGTCCATGTGCATGAGACTTTATGTGAGCCATTATAATGCAAACTGGAGACAAGGAATTGAGGAATCTGGGATTTCAACCTAATGTTCTTCTACTCTCACCGAGCTGCTACACAAGGCTATGGCTTCCTGAGGGTCAGTAGGTCTATAATACCCTAAAAGGGAGTGGCCACTCAGCTAAGAAGAGTGTCAATCCAAGCCAAAACATATAAATGGCAAATCACCTCAATAAACAAGTGTCCCAACACTTGCTGTGCGCTGAAACTGTTCTGCTTAGTAGAAGTCCAGGAGTCTTCAACTGAATGTATTGCTGGGTCCATGGAACAGGCAAAATGGTACACAGATGATGCTATCAAACACACGCACTGCTTCACTCCTTTAAAGCACAACTGCCAGCACTCTGCCAGTAAAATGCAGCCAATGCAGCCACAAGCACAGGGTGCATGGTTAGAGAAGACAGGAACGCCACATGCTCCTCATAGAGACACTCACCAGTTCATGCTGCAGGGTCAAAAGGCCTAATCTTCACCTATCACTGCAGACGTACCCTGCAGGGCTTTCAGGTTGATCATTGTTCTGTTAATCACCCTACCAGCAAGGTGACCTAATGCATGGTACCATGGAAAGCATTGCCCATAGGATCCAGCACTGAGTGGCAATATTAAAGAATGAAGCCCACTAAAGGAGGTCACCTAAGGACCATAAACAAAAACTGAGGCTTAGTAGAGCTGGAAGTGGTTATTGGCATGAAATCCCTGCCTTTTTTTTTTTTTTTTAGCCAGTGTCCATTCATCTGCAGGAGGCAACATAACCCAAGTAGTCATGAAAAAAGTGCCATGTGTCATATAATGTACAATTAAGTAAAATCTACCACACAGATTTGTAGTTTTCATACATTCAATCAAAACACATACTATGCAAATAACAAGGAGAGGGCTGGCAGAGCTTCCCATAAGTGAATCAATATCTGGCCATGTGTAAGCATATGATCCTTGAACTAGTACCAATGGACTTTTAAAAGCAAGATAATGAGCTGATGAAGTAGTGTGCAGCCTACATACCAGTCCAGGGAAAACTTTGAGAACTGAACAGTATAGCGAGGTACAACCCGTCTGGGTCTGCGAGGTGATCGTTCCCTTTCACGCCGCGGAGATCTCTCCCTTGACCGTTTTCTCTGAGGAGAACGATCACGTGACCTGCGTCTGTCTCGCTCTCTTTCTCGGCTAAGAAAAGATTATAATTTTTCAGAACATAAAAGATCACCTAGGTTCACATAAAATAGCTATACAAAGACACATTTAGTTTAAAAAGTAAATCTGCATTGCCTTATTTTACCCTCACAAGTTTTGTAACAATGAAGAATGTACAGATCCTATATGGTATTAGTGAATATACTGTAAATATAAATAAAAAATACATATCATTTTACTCAAATAGTAACCATCGAAGTCGGTGCTAATAGGTCGTCAATATATGCAAGTTTCTAACAGTTATAAGGTAAAAGCAGCGCCTAAAATTAAAATGATGATAATGGGATGGATAGTGCAAATAACTGTATCAAAAAACAAATAAATCATGAAACACATAAAATAGTGCACATGTATCACAAAAGTAAGAGAAAAAAGTGTCCATCAATGGCTCAGCAGAGATTGTTCATAGACGTACAGGGGTAGATTTACTAAAACTGGGACTCTCAGAATCTGGTGCAGCTGTGCATGGTAGCCAATCAGCTTCTAACTTCAGCTTGTTCAATTAAGCTTTGACAATAAAACCGGAAAGCCGATTGGCTTCTATGAAGAGCTTCACCAAATTTTAAACTCTCCAGTTTTAGTAAATAACCCCCAAAGCAACTATCGAAGTCAGCACTAAACAGGTTGTGAGACGACTCACAAAAGATGCATACAAACTCTTAAAAAAAAAACGGCAAATGCAGTACCTAAATGGTGAAATATAATAAAATGATGAATAGTGCAAATAATGCAACTACATCAAAGAAACAATATGGGCACCCATCATAAAAAATAAATCATGAAACACATAAAAATTAGTGCCAAACACAAGTATCACAAAAGTAAGAAAAAAAGGTCCATCAAAAAATTAGACAAAGAGTGTCCATCACAGTGATACAAATGTATCCACCAATGAAGCAATTTTACTGAAGGATGCACTGTAACTTCTATAACCCAAATCCGTAGGAGATAGGAATACAACACCCACCACCTGGAGGTAAGTACTGCGCAATCCTGGGAGGGTAATCTAATACACTTAGGGTGGTGGACTGGAACTTAAGAGACTGAGCCTTTATAGTGTGCAGTGGTCTGTCAGCATGTCCAGTACCATAAGAGGGATGAAACACATGGAGGACGGAGTTGGTGCCTGTTGATGTCACATTATGCTGCCAAGATAGGCAATGGCTTTTCTGTAAGTGTATTGCCGGTTTTGTACATTTTATTGGAGAGGTTTTAATAAAAAGCTTTTATATACTACACTATAAGAGTTTATTTCCCTGTCCTGTTTGTTATGGCATGGTACTGCTTTATATTGGCAGTCTTTGAAAGCAGACTGGTGAGGAGCGAGCAATACATGGAGTGAGAGATTCATCCAGCCTGGAAAGATTTACCTCTGATTGGGGCTATAAATCTCAGCAAGTGCAATACTTACCTCAGGGTGATGGATGTTGTATTCCTGTCTCCTATGGATCAGGTTATAGAAATTACAGTGCATCCTTAATTGAAATTGCTTCAGTGGACAAATTCGTATCAAAGTGATGGACAATCTTTGCTGAACTTCTTGATGGACATTTTTTCTTACGTTTGTGATACTTGTGTTTGGCACTATTTTATGTGTTTCTTGATTTATTTTATGGTGGTTGCACATACTGGGGTTGATTTACTAAAGGCAAATTGGCAGACTGTGCCTTTTACAAGTGCAGTTGCTCTAGAGGTTAGTAAATGAGGGGAAGCTCTGCTGACATCCATCATCCAATTACGTGCAAGTAAAAATGCTTTTTTTTTTTAAAATTGCATGTCCTTGCATGTCATTGGGTATTCTTTGTAAAGTGAAGCTTTACCACATTTACTAAGCTCTGGAGCAACTGCACTTGCAGAAGGCAACTGAGCTTACAAAGGGCACAATCTATTTGCCTTTAGTAAATCAACCCCATTGTTTCTTTTTAAATAGTTTGCACTATCCATAATGTTTTTATCATTTCATTTTTAGGTGCTGGATTTGCCCTATATCTTTAAGGAGTTTGCATGTATCTTTGTGTATTGCCTCACTACCTGTTAGTGAAGAATTTTATAGTTACTTTGAGTCTATATTGAATTATGGACAATATTTGCTGAGTGATACAAACAGCAACTGCCCCAACCTACAACTGGCCTTCACAGCAAGGAGCACATGGAAAGGTGATGCATGTCAAACAACAAAAAAGAAAAATTCCCAGCTCAACTTACCAACCAGCCTGCAACAAAACCAAATTGTCCTGTCTAACCATCTGCATTAAAAAACAGGGGTTTAGGTTGCACACATTTGCAAATACATACGTAAACTGCAGAGCCACTTCACAGCACCCCAGTATTATCTGCAGTCCTAACACTATCAATTATGAGAGCTTCCATAACAAGAGCACATATAAACTAAAGGATAGACTGAGGGTAGGTATGCCTGGAGGGAGCCCATCCCTCCCGCAGACAATATAAGGATCCAAGGGAATGGTTATTTCATTGGAGGCTCTCAAAATGTATAGTTAGGACTGCAGATAATACTGGGGTGCCATGAAGTGACTCTGCAGCTTACGCATGTATTTGCAAATGTGTGAAAACTAAGCCCTTGTTTTTAAAGTGAACTGTTAGGTCAATTCGGTTTGTTGCAGGCTGGATGCTAAGATGAGCTGGGTATTTTTCTTTGCTGTTGTTTGACATGTGTCGCCCTTCCATGTGCTCCTTGCTGCGAAGGCCAGTTATAGGTTGGGGCAATTGCCATTTGTTTGTACCAATGGTAAATTGGGGAGGGAATGCACTGGATACCTTCGCTGCCATTGTGCTATATTACTGGGTGTCCAGTGCACCCCTGTGCCTTGGAGGGGTGGGCTCCCTCCAGGAATACATGTCCTCAATTTATCCATTATTATATGTGTGTTCCTACTATGGAGGCTCTCTTAAATGATAGAGTTCAGACTGCAGATAATACTGGGGTGCAGCGAAGTAGCTCTGCAGCTTACACATGTATTTGCACACGTGTGCAAACTAAACCCCAGTTTTTAACACAAGCAGTTAGGACAATTCGGTTTGTTGCAAGCTGGTTGGTAAGTTGCTTGAAATTTGTCTTTGTTAATATTTGCTGAACCCTTGATGGGCACATTTTTCTTACTTACTTTTGTGATACTTGTGTTTGGCACTATTTTTATATGGTTGAGTGTTTTGCATAATCCATCACTTTATCATTTTACTATTAGGCGCTGCATTTACCCTATAACTTCTTTATTGAAGATGCACTGAGCCAGTGCAAATATGCCATCTGCATAGTATGCCAAAGAAAAATCAGATTACATTATTGGGCTGATGAATTTTCTATTTATACACTGGTTCTATGAATATTGTAATGAGGCTAAAGGAACAAAGATTCCCAGGAGTGCAGCAAGCACAGAACAGGCTCATCTATTTCATTCAATAAGTAAATGTATCAATAAACAGCAATAAAATGAAGAGTCCATTCGGATGTCTAGTTCTAATTTATAGAACACTCAGTCTATGTTAGACAAGGACATTCTTTACAGATCTCCAGGTTTTTAATCAAAGCAAACTTGTCATGAAAAATTTGAAAATTATAATTGCTTGGATGTCACGCTGAGCCTGCTTTGAAACAGGTAAACAAATTATTTTACTTGCATACAGGGGCGGACTGACAACTCATGGGGCCCCCGGGCAATAGGGGATCATGGGCCCCCGTGTCCTTGCCCAAACTCAAAAAAGCCTATAAAAAAGGTACCAGGGGCATCTCATGGGGCCCCCTACTAACCCCAGCCCTCGGGCAGTGCCCGAGTTTCCAAATGGTCAGTCCGCCCCTGCTTGCATACTTTTTGCAAGCCCATGACTGAAGTCAGAAGCAGTATTGCAGTTATGAAGCTAGTGTTTTCAGGTCACCTATTGCACTGGCTTACTTCACTCAAGACAGGCCACTAAGGCTAATTTGCACGTTCGGCAGCCCTTACTGCCCCTCCTCTGAAAAGCGATCCACAGTGGATCACTTTTCTGATGCATTTGATGGACAGTGAGAAGGTAATATGTCACCTCCTTACCACCTGTTTTAACCCTGTAAATGGCACATCTCTGTTGCACAACTGCAGGCATCAGCAAACGCAAAGGGGAGGCCATTTTTGCCGCAGTCTGCCACAGTCTTTAGTTGAAACAATGGAAAACAACATGTACAAGCTACTTTTGGAAACACTGAAATACAAGCCATGTATAATGTCAAACTGTGCAGAGCTACACATTCAGTTTTTATTTTATTTAATTCAAACACTGTACACATAAAACTCCAGGTATGAGAAATTTAATGCCCCCCCCCCACCGTGAAAGTTATTTTTGGGCCCCCTTTGCAATGACTTGACCATTCAACCCACACAAGAGTCTTTCCTCTTGCTGGGCCATCGGTGGGAAAGAGACACACTAGTCTCTCAACAGTGACATGACATGTACTACCGCTCAAGGACTACATGGGCTGGGGGTGTTTCAGAATCCATTACTCCACAATTAGGACACAATCCATTACTAAAAAAATCAAGTAACAATTTTGAGACTGAAGTTGGGCTTTACAAAGATACAAGTGAAACTCACTTCCGGTCATCTTTTCTACTGGAAATAGAATCCCCTCGATCACTCCTGACAGAAAATCTGGATGGGGGTTCAATCCTCCGCACTGGCTGTGGTTGGGATACCATGCGAACCGGGGTCTGTAACAAACCAGCTAAGAGGGGGAGGAGAAAAAACATGGTTAAGTAAAACAGAATTACTAAATCACAGTAAGGCGAGATTCTTAACAATATAGATAAGAAAAAACTTTAAGTAATTATTACAAAAGCTGTACAGTAACGTACTAACATCAAGAAAACTCAGATGGTCCTGAAAAGTAGATATATGAACTCTTACTTAAACAATAAAAGATTTAATACTGTATATGTTAATGTAACAACAAAAATACAAAAATATACAACCATGTATGTTATATATAAAAGGGGATTTTTTGATGCCTGCTTTTTAGGGTCATCCCAATTTCATTAGAAATCAATTTTCACTGGCTCTCAAAATTCCTCCTTGGGTAGTCGGTCTTGTAAATTATAACAAATCAGAGTTAACCATTAGATTTCTAGAACAGCGCAAAAAATGAGATGGAGAAGCGGACTGGTTACTACTAGGGGCAAAAAGGAGATTCCTTTCTTCAGTCATTTCATAAGGCAAAGGCTAGGCTAGTAATACATGCTTCAGTTTCTCCAACCATGGTTAACAGCATGGATGGAGGATCCTTCTCTGTCGGCTATTGTATTCTGTTAGCTGCTGACAACAGGCATCTGATTGGATTCAATCACTGTTTAGCCAACAATTTTCTACTTGGCTCCTTCAATTTTTCAGTTTAAATTTGTCAAGCTTGGTGTTTCCAATAGGGCCACCAATGGTCCATATTTCAGCTGATTCAGCAGTAAATTCAAGCAATGTATGACTAGCATTAGGGATATGATCAATTCATGAACCATTTTGCCCATCCTAGCATTAAAATGACAAAAAAAAAGCCCAGTATTACTTTAATTTGGTGAGTTATAATGCCTGGAGAAATATCACATTGTCAGAAGTTGGCACATAAAAGAGAAAAAGACTGATTTTCAACTATGCATGCATTTGACAAACTAAATGGTTAAAATTATTCTTTTCAGACATGGAAGCTGTAAAGTAGTAGTGGCAGGATAACTTCTGAAGCTGAAGGAAAATACAGTGTACCTTTAGGCTGCTGTTGCTGTAACAGCGGAGGGGGCTGTGCCTGAAGTAATGGATTTAGTGAAGCAGCAGAAATTTGTGCCTGCAGCAAGGTTTGCGCTTGTGGAGGGGGTTGAGTCTGAACCCCAAAAGCAGGCTGTTGTGCAACAGGTGGCATAACTGGTGGTGGGTTCTTCAGTAAAGGCTGTGCTGGAGCTGGGTTCTACAGCAAGAAAAAGCAATCTGTGTAAATATTATACCAACCAAGTTAGATGGGAAGAGTAGAGGGTATTCATGTACCTGGTTTGGAAGCGTCTGAATCCTCTGTGCATTCCATTTAAACGGCATGTTTGGATTGTACGTAGCTTCCACCAAAACCCGATCTCCGACTTGTGGGGACTTACCCTTAACAGCACTGTAGAAAAAAGAAAAATTCTAAAGCATTTGCTTGGCAAAATAACAATAGTAGATACACAGCCTGAGGTTATAGCCTAGTTACAATTAGATAAGAAATCTGTTAACTTAAAGACCCTTTACAAAATTAATGGTGTCTATAAAAGTATAAAAAGAGGTTAGATAGAAATACCAAACAGCATTATTAAAAAACAAACACAACCAGACATGGGGATAATAGAAAGGTGCCCACGGACATTAGATGTTTCTTGCTCCAATCTACCTACATACATATATGGACTTCAGACATCAGCAAGTAGATCCAGAATAAAAGTCTGTTGTGTTGGATTTTTTTTTTTCTGTCAACTAACCATAGTGCCTTCATGATAGAAGTGGTGCCAACAGTGTTTTCCATATACTGGGTGACCAATTCCATTTTAAGGTTGGATTACTCTTTAACATCCTACACCTTATGTCTACAATCCTGTCATTAAGATTGATGTGCACTACAAATTATTATTATTATACAGTATTTATATAGCGCCAAAGGGTTTGCTCAGCGCTGTACAATAGCAAGGGGGACAGAACATGAGACAAAACAGTAACAATACACTACACGAGGGGTTCGAGAGCCCTGCTCTTTCAAGCTTACAATCTAGGAGGGAGAGGAAGTGGTACAGGAGGAAATGGCTGTGGGGGATGGAGTGGTGGGAGAAGTGGAGGAGATCAATTGTTAGGTGAGGGTGGGGTAGGCTTCCCTGAAGAGATGGGTTTTCAGGGTGCGCCTGAAGGTGAGGAGGGTGACAGTCTGATGGATTGGGGTAGGGAGTTCCAGAGGATGGGGGAAGTCCTGGAGAAGTCCTGCAGTTGGGTGTGGGAGGAGGAGACCAGGGAGCTAGAGAGTAGGAGGTCCTGTGAGGAGCGAAGGGCACGGGTAGGGTGGTATTTGGGTATCAGGTCAGTTAGGTAGTTTGGGGCGGTGTTGTGAATGACCACATTAAGCCACTCTTCAGTTAAAAACAGTAAAGAACAGCTTATTAGGCTGCATTTCGTGTGTAAATCTAATCACAAAGTAAAAACTATAGTCTTGAGGGAACATTGTACTTCCAAAAATAAACATGCAGAATTAGCCAAGTTATACGTAAGGTTACCCCTTTTTAAGATTTATCAGCATTCTTTCCGTTCAGGATGAGACTAATACATACGTAAGTTGAAAGAACACATCTTCATCCACAAAGCCAAATGTTTCATGGAGCTTGGTAACAACCCCAGTGAAGACCCTCTGTTTCTGAGGCTGGGTTTGCTGCTGGCTGGAGCGGGGAGTAGGGTAAGAGACTGTTATCTGTGCAGCCTGTTGGGGAGTGGACAGGGCGAGACTTGTTGGCAGTGCTACAGCAGGCTGCAAAACACAAAAAATACAATATTGGCAGCATTAATGACATCTGCTCATTGAACACACTGTTGCATACATATACAATACATTTGAATGTATGAGTATCACAGGCAAGCACTCACCTGAGTTATTAAAGTCTGTTGAGGCTGCTGCAACTGCAAAAAGAAGATAATACAATTGGAACATTTACCACAATGTCATTTCATGTCATACGAAAAGTACACTGCAAAATAGTGTTCGAGTAAAGACAATGCTAGTGGCGCATAGTGCTGCACTCTCCACAAGACTGTTCAGCATTTAATACTTTTGGTAATGTCAGATGCCTGGTGTCCCCCGCTGCACCCTGTGGTACTTTCCTGCAATCCCTATATCACTGCCAAGTCTTGTAGCAACACTGGAGCTGGAAGATGAAACCACAATGCGTGGCAGGGGACACAGGCATGTGATACTTCCCAAAGTGCTGCTTGCCAAATAGTCCTACAGAAGTTCAGGGCTGGGACTGAGCTCCTTTACTGCAGGAAAATTCTTCTGGTTGTATTTTTTTTTTTAACCTGACAGAAGCTGTTAAGACATATGTACTATGAGCTGAGGGGGGACTTAGGCTGCTTACATGGAGGAACTGAGCAGTGTTATCAAGTTCATTCACTGTATAAAAGTGCAGACAGGTGGCACCAGAAGCTACAAAGGTATCCTGCTGCCCATACCTTTGCAAACAATGGGTGAATCGCAACAGTGGCTGAACAGACTTTAAAAACAAGGTTTTTGTACTCACTATAAAATCCTTTTCCCCCATTCATTCAAGGACACAACTGGATCTAACAGATCTTGACAAATGTTATAGTGTCATCTGCGGGAATAGGATGGTAGGTGCAAACAAAATAGAAAGTGGGCCAAAACGGAAAAGACAAACAGTATAACTGTAAAGCAAAACCCCAGCAACCAAAAAAAAAAAAAAAAAATGCTCATACTGCTGCCTGCAAAACCTTACAGCTGTAGCTAACATCCACAAAAGGAGAAATGTCAACCATGTAGAATTTGATAAAGCAATGAAATGACAACTAGGCAGTCTCATTGCAAACTGCAGAAACATGGTGATATAAGGCCCAGGATGCACTCAAGAGACCTGGAAGGGTGAGCAATAGGGGGAAAGTTTTGCAGCCAGCATCACTGTCAGAAAGAGCAGGCTCAGCATTCTCCTTAAACTAACAAACGAAACCAGCACTCAAATCTTCATGCAGACTAGAAGGCTGAACGAGGAGGTGCAGCCCTTCAAAGATCGGGAAATCTGGATATTTGATGAACAAAAGCAAAAAGGGCGCACTCTCATTGTGCATTACCGTGGTACACCACGTGTTTATTGTGAAATTAAATAGATATATACTCAGAAACCAAAAGGAAAATACAAGCAGAATAGGTGGTCCGCAATGGCAGACCAATAAAATGCTGTGCCCTAATAAGGATAAGCTGACATGTTTCGGGAGACGAACCCCCTTCTTCAGATAATGCACGATGACAGTGCGCCCTTTTTGCTTTTGTTCATCAGCATACTCCTTCACAGGGGGATGAGGGTCCACAAGTGGAGAGGTTTCCTCATCAAAATCCTCAGATGCAGACAGAGAAAGAGGATGGCATTTTTTAATTAAATTTCTCAGATAAGGCCTGCTCCATGCAGGCCACAAAGTCCTTCATAGTGGAAATGAATCAAAAAGTTGCTTGAAGCCCCCTCCTGAGTCCAAAGATGTGACCAAAAACTTAAGAATAGGGGGTTTTAGCAGGGAAGGCAAAGCAAGTCGCTAAAGATGTGGGCTCACACACTCCACAACTGAGAGCTGGCAAAGGGGACCAGTGGGTAGGCATCCTTGATGTCAATTGAAGCCTGTGAACACAGCAGAGCCGGCAATCCTTTAGCGCAAATACATCCTTTAGGGCACCCAATGCTTCTAGGGGTCACATTTAAGGAGTACTGCAACTCGGCATGCTAAATATAGTAGTTAAATATACACAGTAAGGCCATCTCAGTTTTTAAATGACCTCTATGTCCTTGGAAACATGGTGTGACTCGTGAATTCCTCCAGAGTATGAGCAGAATACCTTTAACTGGAGGAAGGGCACCACTGGCACATATTTGATTCTGTGACAGTTTAGAAATTACTAATTAGCCATAAGTGCCATTAGAGAGATAGGAACCTACTTGGGCTGCACTGCCAACACAAAGCTGACCCCTCAGAAGCAGAGAACTGCATGCACTTGCAGGCAGTGCTGGACACATTACGGCCTGTCACCCAGAAAAAAAAAAAAAAAAAAAAAAAAAGGAAGAACCTAAGAGACCACCAAAATCTAGACATGGAAATGGGTTCCATCTCCTAAACAATAGCCACAAAAATTGGGTTATTATTGCAGATGGGGGATTTGGTCACTAGCAGGGACCGTCCTCGCCTGTTCTTTTGTTTGTACCTAGCGACCCTACTCCTGCAGGTGCCACTACAACACTGGTCCTGATCCAACAGATCCAAGTTGTACCTTTCAATGAACTGAAGAGAAAAAGTTTGAACAGTAAAACAGTTTACGTGTATGTTTTAGATGTGTATATACTGTAGCTGTTTATAGTAGCTTTACCCTAGACCAAACACAGACAAGGCACAGTAGGGTAAGGGCTTTTAAACGATCCACTTTGTGTAAACAATAATTCTATCTTGTTGGAAGAAAGAAAAATTGTCAAAATCGACATACCTGCTGCTGTACACTGTAGATTTGCTGCGGCTGAGTGTATTGCTGAAAGAGAAAAGCAAATTATTTTTATTTATTTCAGGTACTTATATAGCTCTGTCAATTTACGGAGTGCTTTACATATATATTGTACATTCACATCAGTCCCTAACCCTCAAGGGGCGTACAATCTAAGGTCCCTAACTCACATTCATACATACACATACTAGGGACAATTTAGACAGGATCCAATTAACCTACCAGCATGTCTTTGGAGTGTGGAAGGAAACTAGAGTACCTGAAGGAAACCCACACAGGCACAGGGAGAACAAGAAAACTCCAGGCAGGTGCCTTCTGTCTTGGAATGCTCCCCCCACTACATATATCAAAGGGCAGAAGAATGTACAAAGGGTACAATGGGGAACAGTTAAAGAAAATTCAGTCTCACTTTCTTTTATAGCAAAGGCTATGTGACACTTTTTCTGTGTATTTACAACTCTTTGAACCTGTAGTCATGGGCAGCCAACAGACAGAAGAATAAGACATTTTTTCTCTCAAAGAAACAGCTTCATTTTGTCTCTTTTGTGCAACTTTGGAGTAGCAGAGGGAATTTATGAATCAAGTGTAACCTTGTAGTTGCAATCTGAAGACAATTTCCTAAAGAAACTGAGAATGTTTTTACTTTAAAAAGTGTATAAATAAATCACTTCAATTGTCCAAACATGTAAAAAGCACCTTTTCACATGGATTTGATGAAGATCGTGAATATTCACACAATATTTTAGTGAAGCTTCATTAGTAAATCAGCCTCCTTGTCACACTTATCCTGTTTAGCATTGCCTTGCTATGCAACAGATTTGTTAAATATCCCTCAATCAACCATCCTTTAGATCCGCCGACAACTATGTAGCTTAAGAGTGTGTGATTGGGTACAAATTAAACAGATTGTTTTGGTAGGGTTTCCTCCTATTACATAGTTTTGCTAAATCAAAAGCACAATTTTCACAATCAGATTGTAATGCTTGTGACCAGTTTTTGCAGCATCAGCGGAGTGACGGGATTCTTGTTTAACTTGCCTAGACAGGTAATGATCTTGAAAGGTATAGGTTGAAGACAGCAAACCCTTCTTGTTTTAGTGGTGTGTGATCATAATGACCTCACACACTTACGATTAGAAAGATTTCTAATTTATTGCCCACTAATAACTTCCAAGCCAAAAAAGAGTCAATCAACACAGGAGCTGCAGCAGAGAAGGCAGACCAGGGTGTACAGGAAGTTTCTTGATGTTATTTTAGGGCATACCTGGTATCCTTGAGGCCCGGAAGCATTTAAACTGAACCTTATAAAAAGTATATTTGGGAAAATACCAAGTTATCTTTATAACATCCAGCTGTATTTTATGGTTAATGTATGTTCAGTATAGACCTTTTTCTTACTCTAACATTTATGGCATGGAAAATACTGAAATGCCACTGCTGCGATAGACGTATGGGAGCTGCCACTGCAGGAGAGCTGTCATGGGAGAAACACATAGGGTGACATTACCTTGCAACTCTGAAAAAAAAAAACAAAAAAAAAAAAAAAACATATTCTGATGGTAGAAAGTATGCTGCCACTACTTGCTTCTTCTAAAAATTCTAGTTACCCGACTTACAAGCATGCAGCTAGGGAGGTCATAAAACCCAATTTATTTATTTGGAAAAGCAACAATGAAATTCCCCATGGGTAATAGTAGTAAATACCTAAAAAAACAAAAACTGTGAAACAAACTCTGACCAATAAATATTTTTTATTTATATTATTGATTTCATCAGGTCAGGGAGTTGCTGGAACAAGAGGGAAGTGATAAGTGTAGGTTTGCTCGAAAAGGTACAACTCATCCTCATGATTGCTTCACTACTTTGTGAATCATTGACCTGGAACCAGCATGGAAATGTCAGGACACTTGGAAATATGTACCTCAGCACTTAGTGTATAAAGAAAGAATTAAATAAGAATAATAGGAAAAATACAAATAAAAATAATATGATTAAATGGAAAGCCACACGCTAAAAAGGTATCTGATTACACAAACATTAAAAACTTTTAAATAATTCAGTGCAGTATCCCTTTAAGAAATGATCAATATTAACCAATTAATTCTATTTGCAAAATAGCAAAGAACACAAATATCCAAAATATATGTAATAGATACCAAGTTTATAAATGTGAAACTCCCATAAAGTGTAATGTGAGAGAGATCAATAATAATTTATACATATACATACACACACACACGTTCCAAGTTGCAAATAACTAATCATAACACAAAAATTTCATTCAGAAAAAGTCCAATGATCTTGTGCTGTAGTGATCCTGTGCGGATCCTCTGAAAGCTGCTTTCACCTACCTCCATGTACCACATGAAGCATACACCATCTGCTTACCAAAAACGGAGACCTCCAAACTACAAGAGGTCATACAGTGCCTTGAAAACGTATTCATACGCCTAGAAGTTTTCCACATTTTGTCATGTTACATCCAAAAACATAAATGTATTTTATTGGTATTTTATGTGATAGACCAACACAAAGTGGCACATAATTGTGAAGTGGAAGGAAAATGAAATGGTTTTCAATTTTTTTTTACAAATAAATATCTGAAAAGTGTGGCGTGCATTTGTATTCAGCCCCCCTGAGCCAATACTTTATAGAACCACCTTTAATTGCCATTACAGCTGCAAGTCTTTTTGGGGATGTCTCTACCAGCTTTCCACATCTAGATTGAAATTTTTGCCCATTCTTTGCAAAATAGCTCAAGTTCTGTCAGATTAGATGGAGAGCGTCTGTGAACAGCAATTTTCAAGTCTTGCTACAGATTCTCAATTGGATTTAGGTCTGGACTTTGACTGGGCCATTCTAACACATGAATGTGCTTTGATCTAAACCATTCCATTGTGGCTCTGGCTGTATGTTTAGGGTCATTGTCCTGCTGGAAGGTGAACCTCCGTCCCAGTCTCAAGTCTTTTGCACTCTTAACAGGTTTTCTTCTAAGATTGCCCTGTATTTGGCTCCATCCATTTTCCCATCAACTCTGACCAGCTTCCCTGTCCCTACTGAAGAAAAGCATCACTACAGCATGATGCTGCCACCACCATGTTTCACAGTGGGGATGGTGTGTTCAGTTTGATGCGCAGTGTTAGTTTTCCGCCACACATCGCATTTTGTTTTAGGCCAAAAAGTTCAATTTTGGTCTCATCTGACCAGAGCATCTTTTTCCACATGTTTGCTGTGTCCCCCACATTGCTTCTCGCAAACTGCAAACAGGACTTCTTATGGCTTTCTTTCAACAATGGCTTTCCTCTTGCCACTCTTCCATAAAGGCCAGATATGTACACGACTAATAGTTATCCTGTGGACGGATTCTCCCACCTGAGCTGTGATCTCTGCAGCTCCTCCAGAGTTACCATGGCCCTCATGGCTGCTTCTCTGATTAATGCTCTCCTTGACCGGCCTGTCAGTTTAGGTGGACGGCCATGTCTTGGTAAGTTTGCAGTTGTGTCATACGCTTTCCATTTTTGGATGATGGATTGATCAGTGCTCCATGAGAGATGTTCAAAGCTTGGGATATTTTTTATTTTTTTTATAACCTAACCCTGCTATAAACTTCTCCACAATTTTATCCCTGAGCTATCTAGCATGTTCCTTGGCCTTCATGAAGCTGTTTGTTCGCTAATGTTCTCTAACAAACCTCTGAGGGCTTCAAAGAACAGCTGTATTTATACTGAGATTAAATTACACACAGGTGGACTCTATTTACTAATTACTGTAGGTGACTTCTGAAGGCATTTGGTTCCACTAGATTTTAGTTAGGGGTTTCAGAGTAAAGGGGGCTGGATACAAATGCACTCCACATTTTTCAGATATTTATTTGTAAACAATTTTGGAAACTATTTGCCATTTTCCTTCCACTTCACAATTACCGTATTTTTTGCTCCATAAGACTCACTTTTTTCCCCCCAAAAAAGGTGGGAAAATGTCAGTGCGTCTTATGGAGCGAATGTAAAGCGGCTGGTCCGGTATTTCTGCCGCCACCATGTCAGAATATCGGGCCAGCCGCTCAGCTCTTCTCTCCTGCAGGACCTTACCTGTTCCTCGGTCCAGCGCTGCAGTCTTCCAGCGGCGGCTTCTGTGAAAGCCGGGGGCCCACTGCGCATGCGCAAGAAGCGCTGCGCTTTGTGAATGGTCCGGTGTCTTCTCGGACACATGACAGGTCCCAGAAGGCTCCAGGCCATTCACAAAGCGCAGCGCTTCTCGCGCATGCACAGTGGGCACCCGGCTATCACAGAAGCCGCCGCGGGAAGAAGAAGGAAGGACAACTCCGCGGAAGTGGGAGCGGGTACCTGTCAAATTCAGGTACCCTTTCCCCCTCCCTCCCCAAAGGTCCGCTGTCTCTGGTAATCTCCTTTACTGTCTGCAGTCTCTGGTCATCTGTACTATGTCCGCAGTCTCTGGACATTCCCTGTACTATGTCCGCAGTCTCTGGACATTCCCTGTACTATGTCCGCAGTCTCTGGTCATCCCCTGTACTATGTCCGCAGTCTCTCTGGTCATCCCCTGCACTATGTCCGCAGTCTCTGGTCATCTCCTGCACTATGTCCGCAGTCTCTGGTCATCTCCTGCACTGCAGTCTCTGTCATCTCCTGCACTGTCTCCGCAGTCTGGTCATCTCCTCCTGCACTGTCTCCGCAGTCTCTGGTCATCTCCTGCACTGTCTCCGCAGTCTCTGGGTCATCTCCTGCACTGTCTCCGCAGTCTCTGGTCATCTCCTGCACTGTCTCCGCAGTCTCTGGTCATCTCCTGCACTGTCTCCGCAGTCTCTGGTCATCTCCTGCACTGTCTCCGCAGTCTCTCATCTCCTGCACTGTCTCCGCAGTCTCTGGTCCCTGCACTGTCTCCGCAGTCTCTGGTCATCTCCTGCACTGTCAGTCTCTGTCATCTCCTGCACTGTCTCCGCAGTCTCTGGTCATCTCCTGCACTGTCTCCGCAGTCTCTGGTCATCTCCTGCACTGTCTCCGCAGTCTCTGGTCTCTCCTGCAGTCTCTCTCTGGTCATCTCCTGCACTGTCTCCGCAGTCTCTGGTCATCTCCTGCACTGTCTCCGCAGTCTCTGGTCATCTCCCTGCACTGTCTCCGCAGTCTCTGGTCATCTCCTGCACTGTCTACGCAGTCTCTGGTCATCTCCTGTCTACGCAGTCTCTGGTCATCCGCACTGTCTACGCAGTCTCTGGTCATCTCCTGCACTGTCTCCGCAGTCTCTGGTCATCATCTCCTGTACTGTCTCTACGCAGTCTCTGGTCATCTCCTGTACTGTCTCCGCAGTCTCTGGTCATCTCCTGCACTGTGTCCGCAGTCTCTGGTCATCTCCTGCACTGTCTCCGCAGTCTCTGGTCATCTCCTGTACTGTCTCCGCAGTCTCTGGTCATCCCCTGTACTGTCTCCGCAGTCTCTGGTCATCCCTGTACTGTGTCCGCAGTCTCTGGTCATCTCCTGTACTGTGTCCGCAGTCTCTGGTCATCTCCTGTCCCGCAGTCTCTGGTCATCTCCTGTACTGTCTCCGCAGTCTCTGGTCATCCCCTGTACTGTCTCCGCAGTCTGGTCATCCCCTGTGTCCGCAGTCTCTGTCTCCTGTGTCCGCAGTCTCTGGTCATCCCCTGTACTGTGTCCGCAGTCTCTGGTCATCTCCAGTCTCTGGTCATCTCCTGTACTGTGTCCGCAGTCTCTGGTCATCTCCTGTACTGTGTCCGCCTGTACTGTCTGTGTCCGCAGTCTCTGGTCATCCCCTGTACTGTCTCCGCAGTCTCTGGTCATCAGGTCTCCTGTACTGTCTCCGCAGTCTCTGGTCATCCCTGTACTGTCTCCGCAGTCTCTGGTCATCCCCTGTACTGTCTCCGCAGTCTCTGGTCATCAGTCTCTGGTCATCCCCTGTACTGTCTCCGCAGTCTCTGGTCATCCCTGTACTGTCTCCGCAGTCTCTGGTCATCCCCTGTACTGTCTCCGCAGTCTCTGTCATCTGTACTGTCATCCCCCCCTGTACTGTCTCCGCAGTCTCTGGTCATCCCCTGTACTGTCTCCGCAGTCTCTGGTCCCTGTACTCTCCGTCTCATCCCCTGTACTGTCTCCGCAGTCTCTGGTCATCCCCTGTACTGTCTCTCTGGTCATCCCCTGTACTGTCATCCCCTGTACTGTCTCCGCAGTCTCTGGTCATCCCCTGTACTGTCTCCTGTCTCCGCAGTCTCTGGTCATCCCCTGTACTGTCAGTCTCTGGTCATCCCCTGTACTGTCTCCGCAGTCTCTGGTCATCCCCTGTACTGTCTCCGCAGTCTCTGGTCATCTCCTGTACTGTCTCTGGTCATCTCCTGTACTGTGTCCGCAGTCTCTGGTCATCTCCTGTACTGTGTCCGCAGTCTCTGGTCATCTCCTGTACTGTGTCCGCAGTCTCTGGTCATCTCCTGTACTGTGTCCGCAGGCTCTGGTCATCTCCTGTACTGTGTCCGCAGGCTCTGGTCATCCCCTGTACTGTGTCCGCAGTCTCTGGTCATCCCCTGTACTGTGTCCGCAGTCTCTGGTCATCCCCTGTACTGTGTCCGCAGTCTCTGGTCATCCCCTGTACTGTGTCCGCAGTCTCTGGTCATCCCCTGTACTGTGTCCGCAGTCTCTGGTCATCCCCTGTACTGTGTCCGCAGTCTCTGGTCATCTCCTGTACTGTGTCCGCAGTCTCTGGTCATCCCCTGTACTGTGTCCGCAGTCTCTGGTCATCCCCTGTACTGTGTCCGCAGTCTCTGGTCATCCCCTGTACTGTGTCCGCAGTCTCTGGTCATCCCCTGTACTGTGTCCGCAGTCTCTGGTCATCCCCTGTACTGTGTCCGCAGTCTCTGGTCATCCCCTGTACTGTGTCCGCAGTCTCTGGTCATCCCCTGTACTGTGTCACGCAGTTCACATAAGGCATCCCCTGTACTGTGTTCGCGCAGTTCATAAGGCGGCATGTTTTAATTTGTCATTATTTATGTTTTAAGTATTCACTGCACTACTAGTTTGGGAATTTGTTTTCTCTGAATTTTTGGTTTTGCCAAGCAAGTTTCACTATAAGGTTATCATAAACACATCTCCTGGTTACTTACATTACCTCACACATCAAACATTCTAGCATTGTTGTACATTTGGCAAGCTTTACAGCACAACATGGAAAAAAAAAAAAGGAAAATGTTTAGCTAAAACATTCAGAATATGTCTATGCTGTGAATATCAGATTAAAACTTATGATTCTACAGCATCCTGACATGCATAGCCTATAAGATGAACTTGTCATGGGTCAAGCTTTTTAAATAAGCAAGGATTTACATTTAGAAAAAAAATAAGCTGCTCAAGATGTCAGTTCTGAAAGAAGCAGTAAAAAACAACTGAGGTCTATCCCTTGGAGTATTTTGCCTAGCTGGCTAAGGCTAAAACAAATTAACCAGATAATGGAATCTGCTGCAGTGACAAATTCAAAAACCTGCGTAGGATGACAACCCCAGAGTAGGATATTGGCATTCACTACAAACTGTCAGACTCAAGCAATATGGCAAGCAGACAGTAACTGCAATTTAATTAGATTGGAACTAATTTTACACAGAAATGGTGAAGACTGCTGGGGAAAGAAAATAAAAGATCAACTTAGGAAACGGACTTTTTTTTTAATGTTTATTAGCTATACGTTTCTTAATACCAAACATGCATAGCTCTGCTTCTTGCTGTACAGTTTGTATGCCTTAGTGTTCCTTTGAGCACACATGTGATATTTGATCAGGTCATATGAAGGATCTTGAGAGTAGTGCTTTTTAGTCATCTCAACAAAGAAGTACATGTCAAAGTACATGTCAAACAAAATCTGCTTTAATAATGCTGAAATGTGCGCATGTTTCAGGGCTTGTTCACATGTACTGTGGAGGCCTGATTTTTCTGTATTCGATTAACACAGGGCATCTCTAGGGCACACAGAAAACAACTGTTCACACTTCAATGCAGCCAGGATGTGGGGTGCAGGGAGCTGTGGTAATATGCAGACATACTGTATTGCATTTTACCACAGCACGCTGGAAGGCACTGCATAAATGATTAATATAAACATAGAAAACTTTTAATAATTAAAAATGCGGTGTTCTGAATTGTGCATCACACGGAAGTCTGTTAGCCTTGAACTGTGTGAATGAGCCATTAAAGTGGTTATAAAAGCTGAAGATTTTTTACCTTCATGCATTCTAAGCATAAGGGTAAAAAACCTTCAGTGTGCAGCTCCCCCCTCATACTTACCCAAGCCTGATCGTAATCCAGCACTGTACATGAGAGCCTCAGCTCTCCCCAGTATCTCTCTTCTCATTGGCTGAGACAAAGTAGTGGGAGCCACTGGCCATCGGGAGCAAGCACACACATGTTCCCACAGAGCAAGCAGCTTGCTCTGGGGGCAGTCGGCAGGGGGGAGGGGCCAGGAAAACCAGCAGGGGACTCAAGAAGAGGAGGATCGAGGCTGCTCTGTGCAAAACCATTGCACTGAGCAGCTAAGTATAACACGTTTGTTATTTCAATTTAAAAAGAAATACAAAAAATAAACATCCTGTATTCTGTCTAGCTTTGCAAATATGACAGGGATCTATTTTTCATCTGCTATTTATATTGCGGTGCAGCCAAAGTGTGAACAGGGTTGCTTCCAATGAGAGCCTTGTATGACTCTAATGCAACCACAGAAGTACAATAACAGTTAAAGTGCATAGTAAAAGGAAGACAACAATCAAGAAACACCGACTCACCTGCTGCAGAGCAGCGGCTGCGGCGGCGGCTGCAGCATGTTGTTGGAGTGCTGCAGTTTGAGTGAGTTGATAGTTTGCTGGAGAAGGGGTGCTGAGGCCGGCTGCTGCCAACGCTGACTGCTGAGTGTAGATGGTAGGTGAAGCTCCAAGTAGTGATGGTTGTTGGACACCTAATGGAGCTGATACAGCACAACACCACGTTATACAGTGCACACTCCGAAAAAGCAAGGCAACCTTCATATTTACCAGAGTTTACTATAAATCCTCCAACAAACATACAGTAAGAGAGAAGTAGGGAATTGCTTTCTCCACAACAGAACCAACACAAAGGGAAAATAAGCCGTATTACACATGCACACAGAACGTTTTGTTTTTTGTATTTTTTTAATACTTTTTTTTATTGTCATATGCAAATATTTATACATCAAAAGTATTAACGCATATCAAAACAATCAGTAATACAATAAGAATGCCACACAATTCCAATTTTATGACATATCTAGCTTACACCCAAACCATTGTCTGAAAAAAAAAAAAAAAAAAAAAAACGATAGAGACACACACATTTTACTTAGAATAAATGCTTTATGTGATAATAGTCACCCTATGCTATGGATACACATGAAAAACTACCAAACCAAACTATTCCCCTTTCAAAATATCCTCAAAAATGAGAGAGAAAGAGAGAAAAAAAAAACCTAACAATGGAGAAAAAAATAGCTTGGATAAATCCTCTCCCCCCCCCATCCAAAAGCCAGAAAAAGTAGTTCTGGTATTCACATCACCCCCTAACACCAAATGTTTGCGGAGCACCCCACGCACTAGAGGAGTCCAAAAAAAAAGGGAAGGGGAGGAATAATAATGAGCTATACCTATCACTTAAGGATTGTTAGCCACTGTTGCAGTGGAATCCACCCACCTGGACCATATCTTTCCACACTTCCCCGGACACCCCTTGCTTCATACATACAGTGGAAGATCCAATTTTATCCAGGCCATCAACTCAATAATAGCAATACGTATGCAATGTAATGCTATCAACTTTCGTACATTAAAAAAAAATCCAGGATTCTCAGGAAAAGTTTGGTATCTTTATTCATAGTATCATCTTCAAGTACTCCTAAAAGGCACACCATAGGACTACACACATCAGGCAAATCAAATGTATCCAATATAAATTCAGTGACTTCTGACCACAGGGGCCTAACGTTAGAGCATTCCCATACCATGTGTAGAAAGGATCCCTTACTAGCCTTACACTTATGACAAGTGGCTGTGGTACATCTCCCCATATGAAACAGAAGCTGAGGCGTATAGTACATTTTCGTCCCAAGAGGGAATAATCGTACCCACATGTACCTGTCACCATGTACAAAAGTTTAAGGATGCTGCAGAACTGCCCTGGAGTTGAGCAGAGGGAAAGGGAGTTGCTATATGGACAGCAAAGATGAGAAAGAGTGGGGAGCAGAGGTATACAGAGAGGGTTACTATTTTGGGTTCAAAGGTGAGCAAAGAAGAGGAGGTACAGAGATTCAAAAAGGTGACCAAAAAGGGGGGGGGGGTGGAAAGTTACCATTTGGGATTCAAAGGTGAGCTAGTTAGTGCATCTCAGTTATACTGATGGTTAGTGTAAATACTCCTGGTATGTTGGGAGTTTAGTGAAAATATTCTCATTGCATCGGTGGTCAGTATTCAAAGGAACCAATTATTGCGCTGACTAGAACTTAACCATCATTTAACAGGGCACATAAGAAGGCCAGGGGAGTGGTAGGGAATACCAGGTGAAGTGGATGCAGCTCCTCTCAGATTAGGTCACAAGATCTTAATGCACATATAAAAAACAAACACAAGAAGGTGTAGCATCTACATCTAGGTGTAGCAATTTATTATAAAGAATAAAAAGGCAATAAAAATGCACCCACTAGTTAAAAGTGGATCAAGGCTTGTCATAAACCCATATAGCCCTCCAAAGGATTACTGTGAGGCTGCAGAGCTCTGCAGGAACATGGCTGGCTGAAGCAGAGTTCTTGGTGAAAGTAAAGCTGTCAGGCTTCAGGCTGGAACATAAGCAACAACGGCTTCCAGAAGAAGCATGATGGCCTATAGTTTGATAAAGGGGCACTCCTGTCTGCCCTGCAACATGTAGCCATACCCCCTCCACTTCCTGTCACCATCACCCAGCCGAGAGAGGTGCCGTTCGGTGCCGCAGCCATCTTGCTACTTCTGGAAGCCGTGTTGCTTATGTTGTGTAACACCACCTTACTAAAAATGGTTCCCAACAGGAAGAGCTGCCAACTCCGATGCTCTTCTCGCAGAGGTGATTGCCACCAAAGAGAGAATCTTTCGAGTTAGCAGAACTAACGGAATCTCCCTGATAGGTTCAAATAGTGGTTTTTGTAAAACTGCCAAGTCCAAGTTCAAATTCCAAGGACACAGGGGCGGTCTGACAGGAGGAAGAGTACACATCACTCCCTGTAAAAAAAAAAAAAAAAAAAAAAAAAAAAAAAAAAAAGAAGGAAAAGGACAAACTAAAGAGTGAGAAGCAATCGGTCTTTGGAAGAAAACAGCCAAGGCTGAAACCTAACCCTTAATAGTACCAATAGCCAATTTCTTTTCTACTCCTATGTAAAGAATAGGTAGATGTGAGCACCCAATGGAACAAAATAAGTAAAGAAACTGAATAAATTAAATTAAAAGCAGCCAAGCACAAGGTAACCAAGAAAACCTCAAAAAATATAATAAAATGATGTGCGGCGCTAGGATCAAAAAAATGTCTATAAGTTAGCATATAAACATAAAATACTGATTATTGATAAATCATATAAAAGTTCACCAGGTGACTATGGTGCTCATTAATCATGTGTCTTCCTGGACCCGGTGGATGTGCATATAGGTGTATAAGCAATGCGCACTCACCAGAAAGCGCACGTAAATGCACGTTAGTAATTAATTTAGATGTCATCAAATGGTCATAATGGGATGATGGTAGGAATCCTAAGCCTTTCCTCTATGGGTGGATGGATTCTGAGGTGTGGATTGACTGGTATCAAGGTCATCCAGAGTTTCCTTTTATGGGATAGGTGGGTGCAGTCCTCTGTATCTAGTGGAGGCTCCCTCTCTGGATGTTAGGATGGCTGTGAATCAAAAACTCCTCCGGCGGCGGACACTCCTCCCACTCATCCCCTGCTCACACTGCACGTGAAAGGGTCACACTGTGGACTCGCCACCCAAACAAACAGGAACTTCAGCCAGCCAACCACAGGACGACCCGAGCGCCTTACGTGACCTACACGTTTGTTTCCGGTTTGTCCTAAACATCTTCAAAGGACTCTGTCGCTCTTTTTAAATGGGGGCCACTGCCTTGGACCCGTATAGCACCCTGCCGGAAGAGCCTGGTCAGATCAAACTGCACAAGGTTCCGAAAATGCAGGGTCCAGTGCCGTAAAACCGCATTACAGGCAAAACCCTGAGGATTCTTCTCCTTATCCAGCAAGGCTCAGGTACCATCCATTGTGGCTAACAGCTTTTCGAGTGGATCCGATTGAGGCCCTTGACTCTCAGTAGAATCGTTCCAGACCTCCCAGTATGCTTCACAGAGCATATGTGGCACATATTCAGTGAACATCCACCTTACAGACACTGGCAAAAAAAACGGAGTACTTCCTGTGTAGGAGGGGTTTTATAGGGGAGGACTTCCTGTTTGGTTGTCCAGTGTCCAGTCACCTATACTATATATATCACATATAACCCACACAGTTAGGTCCATATATATTTGGACACAGGCACAATTTTCATACTTTTGGCTCTGTATGCCACCAGAATAAATTAAAACAAAACAAAACAATCCAAATGAATTTGAAGTGCAGATTTTCAGCTTTAATTCAAGAGGTTGAACAAATATCAAGTACAAATTTTAGGAACTGCAACCATTTTTATACACAGTACCTCCATTTTCAGGGGCTCAAATATAATTGGATAAATGAATATAATCATGAATAAAATGTTCATCTTTAATATTTTGTTGAGAATCCTTTACTGGCAATGACTGCCTGAAGTCTGGAACCCATAGACATTACCAAAGACTGGCTTTCCTCCTTTCTGATGCTTTGCCAGGCTCTAACTGCAGCTGCCTTCAGTTCTTTGTTTGTGGGTCTTTCTGCCTTTAGTTGTGCCTTCAGCAAGTGAAATGCATGCTTAATTGGGTTGAGATCAGGAGATTGACTTGGCCATTGCAGAATATTCCACTTCTTTTCCTTCAAAAGCTCCTGGGTTGCTTTTGCAGCGTGCTTTGGATCATTGTCCATCTGTACTGTGAAGCGCCATCCAATCAACTTTGCGGCATATGGCTGAATCTGGACTGACAGTATATCTCTAAACACTGAAGAAATCATCCGGCTGCTTCTGTCTTCTGTCAAATCATTGATAAACACCAATGACCCAGTGGCAATGGAAGCCATGCATGCCCATGCCATCACACTGCCTCCATCATGTTTTACAGATGACGTTGTTTGGATTTGGATCATGAGCTGTTCAAACCCTTCAAACACACTTTTTTCTTCCCGTCATTCTTGTACCGATTAATCTTAGTTTCAACCGTCCAAAGAATGCTTTTCAAGAACTGATCTGGCTTTTTTAGATATTTTTTGGCAAAGTCTAATTTGGCTTTTCTATTCTTCAGGATTATGAATGGTTTGCACCTTGTGGTGAACCCTCTGTATTTGCTCTCGTGAAGTCTTCTCTTGATTGTAGACTTTGACAATGATATATGCCCACCTCCTGGAGAGTATCCTTCACTTGTCTGGATGTTGTGAATGGGTTTTTCTTTACCATAGAGAGGATCCTGCGATCATCCACCACTGTTGCCTTCTGTGGACGTCCATGCCTTTTCATGTTGCTGAGCTCACCAGTTCGTTCTTCTTTCCCCAAAATGTACTAAATTGTTCATTTGACCACTCCTAATGTTGCTGCTATCTCTCTGATGGATTTGTTTTGTTTTTGAAGCCTTACAATGGCCTGTTTCACTTGCATGGACAGCTCCTTTACATGCATGATGTAGGACGGTTGACAGGAATTGATTCCAAATGCAAATACCACACTTAGAATCAACTCCAGAACTTTTACCTGCTTAACTGAAGAAATAATGAAGGAGTAGCCCACACCTGGCCATGAAACAGCTTTT